AGCTGCCTTCCAGAAATACAACTCTGGTATTAGTGCGGCCAGTGAATCCAAGAGAAAAGAGCTGCAAGCAGGAGTCAGATTTAAATGGTAATGGGATTATCAGGGCAACAGGTTTATAACAGTCTGCAAACAGAAGGAAGGGGCTAAAGAGAAGGTTCAAAGAGGAGGGAGGTAAATATTGGTAAATATGAGAGCTTGTGTGGGCCTTGAGGACAGTTTCATGACTTGGAGGTGCTGTGTCCAACCCTGGGCGACTCTGTGGACTGTAGTCACAAGGCTCCTCTGTCCATTGGATTTCCCAGGCAAGAATACTGGAGTGGGTCGCCACGCCTTCCTCCAGGGGATCTTCCTGACCCAGGGATCAAACCCACATCTCTTAAGTCACCTGTATTGGCAGGCGGGTTCTTTACCACTAGCGCCACCTGGGAAGCGCATGACAAGCTACAGGGGATCTTGAACAGGGTAAAGAAAACCATAGGAAATACACTTGCAGCCCCTGAACTCAAAGACAGTACTGCTGGTGATAGCAGTGTCTTAGGATTTTATAATATTTAATCCCCATAATTCATAAGAAAGTCATGTTAGTAAAATCAATAGTGAAATTTTTCACATGTTTTAAAATATTTTGCTTCCTGGAAAAAGTGGTAAGACTTTCTGGGAGAGTTTTTTTAAAGCATCAGCAACATCTTAACAAGAATTGAGATCATTAATATGGCAAAAATAGATTTAAAGAAGAATTTACAAACATATTTGAACATGACACTGTGAATAACAACGCAGGCCCCACCACTATTTATATAAAAGAAACCAGCCATGTAGATATGGGAAAGGCAGGCACATAAGCAAAACACTATTTGCCAATGAATAACAGAAAACTAAAATTTGTACATAAAAAGATACCAAGATCACCTTTCAAGTATTGTAGGATGGTAGGGAAACTATAAGTACACAGCTTTGAAAATACTCTCAAAGTTTAAATGTGCTGTGTCAATAAAAAGCATTATTATTTTGAGTAGTGAAATTGATATTCTAATCCATATTCATGCATCTGGGTACCATCTATTTAAATAGACGTGATACTGGAATACAAGTAATACTGGGAGTATCAATGGAATCCCTCATGGAGTCCCAGTATCACTTGGTTCTGTTAGTAAGGGGGGAAAGTGATTAGAATTAGTCATATTCATGAACTTTTCTTTCTTATTTTGAGTATGTGTATCTCCAGCAAGGATCACTGTTACTGTTAGCGACTCCCAGGAACGGAAATGGTATTGAGGAAGAAAAGTCACAGTTGGTTGCTCAGTCATGTCCAACTCATTGCAATCCCATGAACTGTAACCTGCCAGGTTTTTCTGTCCAAGGAATTCTCCACACAAGAGTGCTGGAGTGGGTTGCCAATTCCTTCTCCAGGAGATCTTCCCAACACAGGGGTTGAACCTGGGTCTCCTGCATCGCAGGTAGATTCGTTACCATTTGAACCACCAGGGAAGCGCGTTGGGAAAGAAAGGGAACTTCTCAGTGCTCATTCTCAGTAAGTTTCTATTACTCAATGTCTTCAATGAGCAGTATGTATGTATTTCTTACACAGTTTAAAATGCATTTGAAAAATAAACAAGTCAACCACTTTGTTCCTAAGAAACATCATCATAAATTGGCACTGAACCGAAAACCTACAGTACTTCATGCCTTAAAGACAAAATAGAACTTGAATGCCTAGAAAAAGACACCAGGTCATTAAAAAAGAAAAAACAACTTTAATCTACAAATGAATATTGACTGCAATTATCTTCAGGGGAAAAAGTAAAAGTTTTCCTAAGTGAATTGTGAGCAGTTTAAGTAACAAGCAATTCGTTCAAAGCAAATACAGGAGCAAAATGTTCTTTAGAATTGAAGAAATACATATTGCAATAAAGAAGCTGCATGACTAGGGAATACAGACATCGCCAACAGTTAGGACACAAAAAGTAAATTTAAAAATTGTAATTCAGATGTAAAGTAATTAGCCTCCAACTAATAAAAATAAATGGAAAAAAAATAAAAATAAAAATTGTAATTCACATTAAAATCTGTTAATGTAATTTTAAAAAAAAATCTAAATATGCAGACACATGTGCTTGAAGTGAGATATTTTTAATGGAAATAAAATTGGCATATGCTCCAACTGGGCTTCCCTGGTGGCTCAGATGGTAAAGAATCCGCTTGCAATGCAGAATACCTGGGTTCGATCCCTATGTTGAGAAGATCCCCTGGAGAAAGGAAGGGCTACTCACTCCAGTATTCTTGCCTGGAGAATTCCATGGATAGAGGAGCCTGGCAGGCTGCAGTCCATGGGGTCACAAAGAGTCAGACATGACTGAACTTAAGAAAAAGAAAAGTTGGCATATGCTCCAACTGGCCTGGATTTGTTACATTAGTAACAACCACAGAACCCTCTTTTGTGTTCTGCAGGAATACTTATTCACTTTAAATTCCATATTAAAATATTGGCACCCATTTAGCTAACCCTAAAATAACACATCAAGAAGTCAGAAGAGATTATTAACCCTTGGGTTAATCTTCACCCGTAAATTTTCCTAACTATATCTCAGAATTTATGAAAATAAAGCAATGATCTTTTGAAAAGATAGGAAATACTTTAATCAGCATTGCTCAACGTTGGCCCTGATGACATCTGGACCAGAAAATTCTTCTGTGGTGTGGGCTATCCTGTGCATCAGCTGTAACCTTGGCCTCTACCCACTAACTTGCCAACAGAATCCACCCTTTCCCTATAGTTGTGATAACAAAAAATGTCTCCAAACATTTAAAAAATGTCCTTCTGGGGGCAAATTTACCCATGGTCGAGAACCACTGATAATCCAATACTTGGAACATAACAAAAATTTTAAATCACAAATAAGAGTAATTGTGGTTTTTAATGTTGGAAAGAACAATTGAAGACTGGTGGCTCAGACAGTAAAGAATTCGCCTGCAAAGCAGGAGACCTGGGTTCAATCCTGGTTCTGGAAGATCTCCTGGAGAAAGAAATGGCTACCCACTCTAGTATCCTTGCTTGGAGAACTGCACGGACAGCAGAGACTGGAGGGCTGCAATGAGGTCGCCAAGAGTCTAACACTACTGAGTTACTAACATGTGCATGCGCGCACACACACACACGCACACACACAAAGGGAAGTGGATCCACTCACAAATTTAAGCCAAAAAACTACAGAAAAACACACTCCTCTTCAAAATTAATGGTTTGCTCGAACGAGATCTCAGTGTAGAACTGCAGCTTACACTTCAAGAAAACTAATTCCTTCCACTACGACCACACGCACACACAGAACCCCTCCCATCCTTATTCTCCTGTCATGACTTGGAACTGTTGGTTTCTGTGTCAAACAGCTTCCCTCATATTTCAGTGATCCCCTCTCTTGCTCATCTTCCTGGATCCTTTCCTAGACTGTATAGCCTACCAGCTTCTACCACATGCTCTGATTTTAATTTTTAAAACATCATTTTCATAAGTTTTGTCTTCATTTCAACATTTCCACTTTCTTAGAAACAACTTTTATAAAAATGCTCATATATACAAGCATATATATAGAACATATCTAAATATATACATATATATATATGTGCACATCTAAATCTCATATTACTAATCTCATTTCATTCACTGAAAAATATCATTGCATGTCTTCTCTGTGCCAGGCACTATATGAGAAGTATACCTTGGATACATAAATAGAGAAAAAAAACCACAAAAGACCAAAGTAAGGAGGCACTGAAAGTGAAAGTGAAAATCACTCAGTCATGTCCGACTCTTTGTGACCCCATGAACTATACAGTCCATGGAATTCTAGGCAAGAATACTGGAGTGGGTAGCCTTTCCCTTCTCCAGGGGATCTTCCCAACCCAGAGATCGAACCCAGGTCTCCTGCATTATAGACAGATTCTTTACAAGCTGAGCCACAAGGGACGCAAGGAGGCACTAGTGGGTTACAAAGGGAGTGTAATCAGTTCATCCTTCATCTGGACCTTCTCTACCAGGTGACTCATAAACTTCATTATTTCCTTTCTTCATCCTCCCTGCAGGTGAAACGTTAAATCCTGACTGTCCCGTCTGACATGGACCTTGACCACTTTCTCCTTACATCCTCACATTATCCTTTCTTCTGGAACTCTCTATCTGTCAACATTTTCAGATGGAACAAAGGATCCTGCTTCTGAATAGCTCAGTTGGTAAAGAATCAGCCTGCAATGCAGGAGACTCCGGTTTGATTCCTGGGTCAGGAAGATCCCCTGGTGAGTGGATTGGCTATTCACTCCAGTATTCTTGGGTTTCCCTTGCAACTCAGCTGGCAGAGAATCCGCCTGCAATGCGGGAGACCTGGGTTCAATCCCTGGGTTGTGAAGATCCCCTGGAGAAGGGACAGGCTACCCACTCTAGTATTCTGGCCTGGAGAATTCCATGGACTATACAGTCCATGGGGTAGCAAAGAGTCAGCTTTCAGTTTCACTTTTCTGAATTTTCATGTCCCTCGAATTACCTGCTTTCCCAATCTGATACTGGTTGTTAGTAGCCTAGTTCAGGTTTTTCAAAGGTCTAAAAATGTCTGAAATTTTAAGGGAACAGCTTCAAGAACTCAGCTATCTGCTACTATCCAGGCAACTTCTACCACTCTAACCGAGTCACCACTGCAATCTAACCACCAACCAATATTTCATGCGAGCTCATCTCTGAAACATTATTTTGACAATTTTAAGCGATTTTCTCTTATCTGCAAGGTCCAGTTTACAGCTACCAACAAGCCTTTTTGCTAGGCAAAAGGAGATAAATGTGGTTTCCAGTACCATTAAAAGTATATCTTTGGTTGGAAGTACATATCCCATCTTAAGTATATTAACAAACATGGGACCAGAAAGAATGCAAACTACTCAAATAATAGATATTTAATGACAATTACTACTTTAGTGTGCAATAAACTTAACTTCCTAGTGGCCTTTAGATTTACCTCAAAAGTTCTGAGCTTGGGGGTAATTTCTTCAAGCAAATGCAAATCTTTGGAAACCTTGACCTTCAGTTTGTTCCACTTTCCTTGAACATCATCAAATTCTTGCTTATATGTTTTTTCTATATCTGGAGAAACATTTTTCTCCAAAGCCTTTGTTTCTTCTGCAAGTTTATGTAACACAGGTTTTTGATTCACCAGGATTTCATCAAGAGCCTGGAAAACAGATTTCAAGATTAAAAATGCACATAATAATCTATCTGTGAAGATGTATTCAATAATAATGATTATAAACAGTCAAAATCACTTTTTAAACAGAATTTGATCAAAAAAGAATTGTGAAAAACTCATGAAAGAATAATGTGCCCAGTCGCTTCAGTCATGTCCAACTCTTTGAGACCCCATGGACTGAATCCCTATGGTCTTGGGATTTCCCAGGCAAGAATACTGGAGTGACCTGTCATTCCCTCCTCCAAAGGATCTTCCAGACTGGGGGATCAAATCCACATCTGTTGCATCTCCTGCATTGCTGGCAGATTCTTTAGCGCTGAAACACCAGGGAAGTCCAATGAAAAACCAATAAGTATAATCAAAAAAGTCATAGCTTTCCCTATATGAGCTGTGTATGGTTTCAAGACAATATATTGGATTGGCCAAAAGTTCATTTGGGTTTTCCTGTAATATCTTATGGAGCACCTGAACAAACTTTTTGGCCAACCCAACATTCTCTGCACTAAAACCCAGCAGAACAACAGGCCCAATGAGGGCCCGGTGTGCAAGGCTGGACGGGGGATCACTTGTATCTGAAGAAATAGTGCAGACACATACTTTAAGTGACCAGGGAAGCATTTTCATTCAACACAGAAAAAGAAGAACACAATCGATACTCTTCATTTCATTAAAGATATTTTATCCAGTTGAGAATTTTAAGCTAGTCACAATAAAAGGAGAAAATATGCTTTTATTCTATTAGAGGGTTTCCCAGGTGGCACTCCTGGTAAAGAACCCACTTGCCAATGCAGGAGACATAAGAGCCACAGGCTCGATCTCTGAGTCGGGAAGATCCCTAGAGGAGGAAATGGCAACCGGCTCCAGTAGTCTTGCCTGGAGAATCCCATGGACAGAGAAGCCTGGCGGGGTATGGTCCTTGGGGTCGCAAAGAGTTGGACACAACAGAAGTGACTTAGCAAATTCTATTAAAAACATTTAATAACCACCTTGTATCTGAGATCTTAAATTATAGTAATTAACTCTCAAATTATAAGAAATATAAGCAATGTTTGACCAATTTTGACCAAAACAAATACATCTTTAAAAAACATTTCAAAATATATGATATGTTAGAAATGAACCTAGACCACTTAGGCCTAAATTATATATTACCTTTTTTTCTTGGAGGGCCTTCTCCACCTTTGCAAGATCATTCAAGACATTCAAAGGCATCTGGGCCTTATTTTCAGAGTCATTTAGCAGATCTGTCAGTGTTTTCAATGTTTCCAAATACACACGTCCAGGTCGGCTCTTCAGTTCTGTTCATGGAAAAGTACTCACTTAGAGAAACTATTGTTAGGAAATTAATATTGCTATATATATTGTTAATCTCTATATATAATAGGTGAATTCTATTACACAAGAAGTTAAACTCCATAATTAAAATTACATAGGGTCTCTCTTAGAGATCAAATAAATCACTCCACTGGCATTTCTGAGAGTCAGACAGTGGTGACTTCATTCCTGCGGATGTTGATGCTTGAAATATTAAGTAACCCACCATCATTTCTCTTCATTTCATCATGATGAAATGTCTCTCTGAAGATGGTACTACAATGATCCTTTTGTCTCATATAATCTCCTTTGCCCCAGTAGCTACACAAAAAATAAAAGGAGACAAGATCCCCTCCAGCCAGTCATCCTCTAAGTTCAAGTGTGTAGACAGGCCGCCATCCGCAGAAGGGTGGACGCCATACAGAACACCACAGCTAGGCGCACAGGTACCCTGGGAAATAATGGCTGCCCCAGCCAGCTGGAGGGATGGGTACTTCAGCCACTGATGGCAAATTTACAGACAAGCAACACTAGAGTGGAGAGGAAGCCAGCTCCTTTGAAGCACAAAGAGCTGAGACCAACCAGCAGCAAAAGTTAAGAAACCAGAAGTATTAGTCACAATAGCCGAAGGGCGGAAACAAGCCAAACGCCCATCTACAAATGAATAGATAAGCAAAACATGAAGTCTACATAAAATAGAATACTATTCAGCCTCAAAAAGGAAGGGAATTCTGACATACCCAACCCACACAAAGGAACTCGGAGGATAAGTGAAACGAACCAGTCAACAAAAAAGAAAAACTGTCTGATTCCACTTAGGAGAGGTTTCTAGAATAGTCAAACTCATGGAAACAGAGAGTAGAATGGTGGCTGCCAGGGGCTGGGGGGAGGAGGAAATGAAGAGCTGCTGCTGAACGGGTATATAGTTTCGATTTTACAAAGTGAAAAAGTCCTGGGGCTGGGTTGCACGACAATGTGAATATATTTTACACTCCTGGACTCTACACTTTAAAATGGCTAAAATGGTAAGTTTTAAGTTATGTATATGTTACAACAATCAAAAACAAAAATAAATAAATTTACCAATTGTTTTAAAGGTAAGAATAAATATTTCAACTGCTCTTGTCAAAAATGAAAGCTGATTTCATAATGGCAAATTGAAAAGGAGGTCCTCTCAAACCCTTCACGGTCTAGATTAACTGAGTTCAGTCAACAGAAGTATGGTGTCCAAATTCTTTTCCAAAAGAAAGGAAACATGACAAATTGCTCACCATAGAGTCTTATACATCATTATATAAACTACAGTTGCCTCAAGGAAGGGTATGGTTAAATGTGTAGCTTTTTAGCATGCCTTCCCCATAGTATTACATAATGCAACACAATTCCTGACTTAAAAGCCAAGGAGAAAATAATATATGAGGAATGAGTTTTAAAGATCTATAGGAATTAACTTTCCCAGACCAGTCTTAACCCAAAGGTAAAAATTCTTCAAAATGTTTCCAACGTTGAAAGAGGAACACTATTTCCTTGAAAAGAAGAGATGGCATTGCTAAAACTTTAACCATTTGGAGCAAACAGAAGCAAGCGATCATTCTTTTTATCCCTGTTAGTAATGATATCAGCTTGCCTCCTTCAGTGAAAGGGAGAAACTACACCCTAAAAAAAAAAAAAACTCTTTAAAAATCATTATATCCCATTAACACAGTCTGAACAGCATGTGAAAGATGTCTTCATTTTTACAAACAAGTGTGAATCCAGGAAATAGTCTGAATATACTTTAAGAAGTGGAACAGTGGCAGGCCCAGAGAAAAATACAGGGAGGCTGGTGTAAAACAAGCAAATGTACTAAAGGTCTAAACGCATGCTATGCTATGTCTTTTTAGTCACGTGCAACTCTTTGCGACCCCATGGACTATAGCCTGCCAGGTTCCTCTGTCTATGGGATTTCCCAGGCAATAATATTGGAGTGGGTTGCCATTTCCTTCTCCAGGTTTAAATATTGGAAGTAATTTTTAAGTTAAGTCAAACTGAGAAACCAAGATGGTGGAATCATCTAAGAAAAACGCAAGAGAGTGGGTTTACCGTTCTCGAGCTGTTGGTGGCGCTCTTCTAAGCCCTGCTGCACGGCTTGGTAGCGGCCCGCCACGCTCTCGAAATCCTGCTGGACAAAGTCTGGGGCGAAAGGCCGAGACTTCAAGGCTGAGCAACTTGCACGCAGCATTTCAATTCTGGGGTGGAGGCTACGCAGGTTTGTCAGCTCCCGCTACGAAGAGAAAATGTGATCACACAACTCGCTGAGGATGGACATCCTCACAGAAAATCAATCAGGGCAGAGCTCACCGGAAGCACGGGATACAAGGAGCATCTTCTGCATTTTTTTAAACGTATACATGTATTCCCTCGCTGTAAGCTTCCCTCCAACTCACCCCACCCCAGCCCTCTCGGTCATCTCAGAGCACCCAGTTGGGCTTCCTGTTCTATACTCGGGTAGCTGTTGTGTGCAAGTGAATCTGCTAGTTGATCAGTTGTGTCCGACTCTTTGAGACGCTATGGATGACAGCCCGCCAGGTTTCTCTGTCATAGGGATTCTCCAGGCAAGAATACTGGGGTCAGTTGCCATTCCCTCTTGCAGGGGATATTCCCGACCCAGGCACTGAACCCAGGTCTCCCGCACTGCAGGCAGATTCTTTACCAACTGAGCCAGCGGGGAACTAGCCATGTTACACACAGCAGTGTATACATGTCAGGGCTACTCTCTCAATTCGCCCAACCCTTTCCTACCCTCCTTGTGTCTACAAGTCCATTCTCTGTGTTTCTGTTCTTCAGTACTATTTTTCTTGATTCCTTATATAGCGAGCATCTTCTTTAAATACAGAACTGGACATAGAGTCCTTTCATGTTCTGTGTCTTTACCTGACAGGAGTCCTTCAAGCTTGGCACAGACTCCTGGGGAGATTCTGAAGAGGCAGTGTGTTTTACCCAGTCTTCTTTTGTCTTTACGATCTTTTCAAGCTCATCAAGGTGCTTGAAATAAGCATTAATATCTTCCTGCAGCTGTATTTTTCTCGCCTGATCTTCCAAACGCTGTGATATATTCTTCCATTCAGATAATACCTTCTCTAAAATATTTTTTACTTCTTCAGTAGGCAGACCTTCTACATAGACATAAAAAATAAGCAGACACTTTAGATATTATTACAAAATTAGTTTTCAATTCGCTGTAAACATTATAACATTAAAAATAATGAGGCAGTATCATATTTACTGATCACTCTCTTAAGTTCCTTTTTACACAACAAAAATTAAAATGATGCTCTCAAAAATAATTATGCTTAATTCCCTGATAAAAACAGGATAGGGGGAGCTTATAATAGCAGTTCAGGAGTGGGGTGACCATCACAAAAAGCATAACAGTGGAGTGTCAGCCACTGCCTTCTCTATAGGATGTGTGTTTCTGTCCTTAGCAACCTACTGCTCTATTAGTTTCTGGTCTGAGTCTGAGAAATAAAATGAAGTGTTTGGATTTGTCTGGGCCTCTGACATCAGAAGGTAGGCCCTCTGTCACCAGGAAAAAGAGAGAAAAGGGGGGAGAAAAATTGAGACTTTGGTGACCAAACCACATGTCATAGGAATTGCAAAACAAATGTCTAGAGTCCCTAGTGCTGGGAGCAACCTGGTGAGCGCAGGAATAGGAAGCCAGCAGGCAGGATTCAGCAAGAAGCATTAGCAAGCCTATTGGAATGTTACACATAGACCAGGAAATGCCAAAATATCAATGCAGTGCTAAGATTATCTACTTTAGAAACATATCAGAAAAAAAAAAAAACACCATTATGTTTATTGTTGACATCTTATAATTGTTTGTCTCATATTTTTGAGAGATAGAGAATGTTCATAAAAATAAGAGTTATATATAACAGGCTTTATCATAGTCTTTCCCTTAATATAAAATACCATCAAGTCATAAAATTACTATGAAAAATTATGGGAAATTGCAAAAGAAATATTTTCTGCTGAGGAGGGCATGCATGTTGAAAAGATGGGTTTAACATCTTTATTATTTAAGCAGGAGGGCAATAAAACTTTGTAAATATATGCCATCAAAATCCAGGGTAATGAGAGCTCTACAGGGGAAAAATGGCATGTAAGACAAAAGATCACTTAGGATCAGAGATGATGCAATTTTGAAAATTTTTGTAACACACTACATCCACTGAAAATTAGAAATGCAAACGTGACATTACATAATGTGCATATATCACCATGTCAATTGCTGAAGTAAACTGTCCATCATTACACAGGTAATACAATATCACACCTAGACAAAACATTCACACCACAGTTTAAGTTCAATTATCTCTGTTAATTCAGGTCATAAACTAAATAAATTACTAAAAAAAAAAAATATATAGTTTTTTCTGACAAACTACCTGAGCAATGGAAATCTAGCCTGTGCTTCTGCCTGGCCATTTCTTTTTTAAGTGGACAAAGAAATAACATCAGCCACTTCAAATTTACATGTCAGGGTAATTTATGATAAACAAGAAAGGAAATTAAGCTGGCAAATAAAATTCCTGAGATGGAAAATTGTCACTACAAATCCAGAAAATAGGTAAGAGATAGTTATTTTAGGTTCTAGGCAATTTTGAAAAATCTTCAAATATTTTTTAAATTCACTGACGATATTTCACCATCCATCCACTTTGCCCTTTCAAACCAGTTCTCAAAATTTAAATCTCCCTCCTCTAAGATTGATATTATTATAGTTTGGACAAGTATCAAAGTAATAAATAAAGCACAGTTTACATCTTAAAAAAGGAAAACCATACACTGTCTTTTAAAACAATTGTTTTGCTCCTAGAGGTCCAGAGTAATAGCTTTTCTATTTCTATAGAACGAACATCCAACTCTTTTCCAACAGATTATTTCACTTTTTAAAAACATTTTTGGGCCACAAGAGATGTCACAAAACATAATTCACACGTGTTAGGTAGAAAGGTCCTATCAGACTGCACTGTACTGGAATGTTTTGATGAAACTAGTTTGAGAAAACCAGTGATGCCATTATTTGAACATCTGTCTACTGAAGAATTTGATGTGTTTTTCTAACTGAACTGAATCATGTATCTGCATCCTTACATAGGCAGACTCTGGGTAAATATACTCTGGGTAAAGTTAAAAAAAACTTCTACATTAATTATCCAAGGTCTAGGATTTATTTCAAATGTATTGAGGAGGAAGAAGGGCAGGGAGGATCACTCAGTTGTTCTTTCATTTCTGTTCAACATTTCTGGTTTTAAAACAGCAGTAGGATTAATAGCACTAACCACATGTTAAGAAGGAAAATGCAACACCATAAAATTAGAATAATGGATAAAATGGAATGACAGTGGGAAATTTTTAAATCACTTTTATTCTCTCACTAACAAAAGGCATACACTCCCCAAAAATGAGAAAATTAAACCCAGAATATATAGACTCTTTTCTGATCGATGTCCCCATTTCGAAGCTTCCCATCCCATCTTAAAAAATTTTAACGACAGATGTTTTTTAAAATAAACAGAATTGGGGCCCTGTAGTGAATGAATGAATTTCCACTCCTATCAAAGCTCAAAAAAAAAAAGGTAATGCAAGATATCAAAGGTTCACTATAAAATTAAACAAGTATACATGAGGTCACAAAATTCACCCCTTTATAAAATATCATATATTCCCTGATATTTGTACTTGATCTTTCGCAAATAGCACTTTCACATGAACTCAGTTTTCAGAGTATATATTATAGAAAATGCCTATTCACAGTAAGATTTTATCAAGCAAAAGGTGTGGTCACCTATCAAAACTTCTTCACTTTCTAGACAAGGGAACAAAGTAACAAAAAGGCTACTTGATTTGCCCAATGACACAAAACTAGGAAAAGACAGGAGACACCAAGGTCTCCCATTCAATCCCCAATTCAGTGTAAAGTGTTATTCTTACTTTAACATACCACCTCTCACCACCTCCCATGTATTCTTCCTATGAGTCTCTGAACTCTAAATCTGCCATACCCACCAAAAGCTGACACAGACAAGAAGTTAATTCAGTTCACAGACTTATGAAATTACCCCCTCATCACCCAGATAAAGTCTGGTTTCCAAGCTCAAATGTTGATGTAGAAGTGAAGAATCTATGATTATAACTAACATGAATTTAACATACAATTTATTGTAATTATTGAAGTATCTTAAAAGGAAATTACATTCTCTGTCTCTAAGTCCCTTCAAGTAAATACTTAAAAGTGTAATCTTCAAGTAGGGTGCCCACATCCAGTAATAAGACACTTACGGTGGACTGTGAATGAAAATACTATTCTATGTGGAAGGAAGGGGAAGTAGAGAGACAGGGAGGGAAAGAGAGACAGAAGGAATGAGGGAGGGAGAAGGAAAGAAAGAAATTAAGCTGTACTAATAATTTATGACAATGGTACATTTGCATAATTAATAAATAAATGTATATATACTGGACACATACATGTCTTTGTGTATGTGTATGTGACCTCAGTATATACACAAAATAAATTGATATATTTTTCAAAAAGCAGAGGGAAAAACAATCTAAAGTGTTTTAAAATGTGGTTTTCTGAGATGGAAGCAATTGATTGATCCATTACAGACACCAGGAAACTTTCTGGAGGGGTGGAAATAGTCTATATATTCATAAGTGTGTGTTGCTTTGTCAAAACAACACAGTTTTGTATATTTCAATATAACTTTAAAAATGTGAAAATAGTAATAATGATTAAGTTGATGAGGAGTAGGAGTATAGATAATTCGAGAATGGTAGACTATCATTAATTACTGAAGGGATAATTGATACAGGAGGTTCACTGTACTATTCTATCTGCTTTGTGTATATTTCCATTTTCTACAGTAAGAAGTCAAAAAATAAAAAGGTTGAAAACTACATTGTTGAAGAGTCTCATCGACTAACATTCATAACTGAGCTCTGGGTATCTCTGGCTTTAATCAAGGAGCACTGCAACAGACTTCCAAATCACTTATTATTGGAATAAAGAATACGGCTTATAAGAAAAGTCTTTCAAAGCAAAACCCAAAAAGAATCATATACAAAAATGTATGGCAGAAATATTAATCTTTACATTCTCCAGAGCCATTGGGTCTATGGGGGAAAAAAGTTCTTTAATGTAGGTAAAAATTTCAAATGTAGGTAAAATTTCAAATTTAACAATAATAAAATATCTGTACTAAATCAACATAATGCACTGAAAGCTATCAAAAATCAAATAATCTCAATGAATTTTCCCTAACGTAACTTTGCATCCCTAATATTGCCAAAGTAACATTTTCTTTTACTGCCTACCTCCAATATGTAACCCCAAGGAGGAGATTTTAAAATCTCCCACACAACTGGATTTTAACTCCTGCTGAGGCATAAGAGTTTTATTTGGGTTCTCTTATCCATATAAATATCCATATAAATCCTAAAGGAAATCAGTCCTGCATATTCATTGGAAGGACTGATGCTGAAGCTGAAACTCCAATACTTTGGCCACCTGATGGGAAGAGGTGACTCATTGGAAAAGACCTTGATGCTGGGAAAGATTGAAGGAGACAGGAGAAGGGAACGACAGAGGATGAGATATTGAACGGCATCACTGAGTCAATGGACATGAATTTGAGTAAACTCCGGGAGTTGGTGATGGACAGGGAGGCCTGGTGTGCTGCAGTCCACAGGGTCACAAAGAGTCGGACACAACTGAGTGATTGAACTGAACTGAACTGATCCATATAAAAGTAGAACAACTTTGCTATTATCTGTTTTATATAATCAGCTTCAGCATAAATTTTCATTTCTAAAATGATTCTACTGCCTAGAAATTTTTATGAAAAACCATTTTTCTAGTAAAAAGAGGGCTAGAGTCTTACAAGTAAATATTTTATTTGTTAAACGGTAAATAGCATTATTTTGCCAACAAAGGTCTGTCTAGTCAAAGTAATGGTTTTTCCAGTAGTCATGTATGGATGTGAGAGTTGGACTATAAATAAAGCTGACCACCGAAGAAGTGATGCTTTTGAACTGTGGTGTTGGAGAAGACTCTTGAGAATTCCTTGGACTGCAAGGAGATCCAACCAGTCTATCCTAAAGGAAATCAGTCCTGAATATTCATTGGAAGGACTGATGCTGAAGCTGAAACTCCAATCCTTTGGCCACCTGACGAGAAGAACTGATTCAGTAGAAAAGATCCTGATGCTGGGGAAGATTGAAGGTGGGAGGAGAAGGGGACGACAGAGGATGAGATGGTTGGACGACATCACTGACTCGATGGACACGAGTTTGAGTAATCTCTGGGAGTTGGTGATGGACAAGGAGGCCTGGCGTGCTGCAGTCCATGGAGTGGCAAAGAGTCAGACATGACTGAGTGACTGAACTGAAACAGCATTCAGTGTCACCATCTAAGAAAATATTTTTTAAAAAGCAAAGTTCTCACCTTTTCCCATTTGCTCCAAAAGGATTTGTCCAGTTTGGTGTAATTCATCCAGTCGGGGTTTTATTTCCATCTGTTCTTTTTCTAATCCCTGAAAATAAAGTCCCAAATATAAGAATAGTTCAAACTTTCTTCTAGTATAATGCTGATGCTTCTTGACATTTTTATATTTTATGGCCCTTCCACATTCTCTTTAGGTGTTACAAAGTTTACCTAAGAAAATACTACAAGATAAAACTATGCCATTTCAGGCTGCCCTCCAGAATGCCAGAGGTTATTAAATGTCAAAAGGTAAATTCAAACAAACAGTATAAAACCTTCATTTCTTTTATAAGAGAAAAAGTTGTACACTACAGTTATGAGATTCTATCAGAGGAAATAATTAAAATTAGTATTTTAGATCCAGGATATCTAGTCACATATATGAACTCAGTAAAAATAAGTTTGAGTCAAATGAATGTGCTATGAAGACAGAGACTACCAGACATAAATTATTTAAGATTTAAGAAAGAAATAATTTGAGTCTCAATATCATTTGTTGGTTTCATATTAAGCATAGGGTATAATGCAAAGTTTAACCACAGCATAATTCACACATAATTTTTAGACACTGACAATATGTTTCAGGACCAAACTAAAGAATTATATTCTTTATATTTGAAAAATGGCTGCTAATTTTCATATTTATGTCTCTATGGTTTGATATTCTCGATGTCCCTATATCTCAGAGACAGAAGAACACAAAATCTTCCAGAATCAATAAGATAAGGCTGAGCAAGATCATAGACACACACATACACTCAAATTTTTGTGTACACAGTCAATATTAGAAATTTCTCCAATTGATAATTATCTATTAATTAACTACTCAGATAGTGTCCAAAATAGCACAATCAAAAGTTCCAGGCAAAAACAAAAACTTCCAGGTAATCCATATTATTTCAACCAGATAATCTGGAGAAGAATCCCACTTTGAAGGTCTATGCAGGTAACCACTATCAAAATTCAATAAATTTAGCTCTCTTATTTTGATGCATACAAACTTTACTGCAACTCAGTCAACCAACCATTTTTATAGTCAAAGATCAAGAAAGAACAAGAGATTCTAAGAAACATTACTTACTTTTGTTAAACTAACTACCAGTGCAAAAAAGTTACCATCAAGCTGGAGAAAATTATTACCTGCATTATACTAAACTATGTTCTCCTGCTTTTTATGGCAGTGGTAGATTGAACAAAGGATTCTCCACTCAGATACTGCATCAGAACAAGTTATCCCTTCATTAAAACAAAACTAGCTGATATTTCCCAAATTTGCAAGAAAAATTAGCAATGGTTAAATTTTCTTTATTTTACATATTTCCCATCCCACTGACACTATTTGTCTAAAACAACAAAATAAGCAAACTTATAAAGGAAAAACATAAGAACTGCAATCATGCCTTACATATACATGGTGTCCAACTCTCTGCGACCCCATGGACTATACACTCCACAGAATTCTCTAGGCCAGAATACTGGAGTGGGTAACCTTTCCCTTCTCCAGGGGATCTTCCCAACCCAGGGATCGAACCTAGGTCTCCCACATTGCAGGTGGATTCTTTTCCAGCTGAGCCACAAGGGAAACCCAAGAATACTGGAGTGGGTAGCCTATCCCTTCCACACTTGTTATTTTTTTCCTCTCAAATATTACAATAACAATTTCTGTAAGTAAAATTGTGTCTAGATCACAGGATGGAACTTATCAATATTTTATGGGACTTGTTCCATAAAGATCACTATAACTTCCAAGTTCTCTGCCAGTTTACTGCCTTTGATTAATAGCCTCTATTGGTCTTTCAGAAGCACATGAAATCATGGAACACAGCTCTCACATCTGGCTCTCTTGATCCCCTGTGCAGAGGGCTCTGATAACGGTGCTTCCATGTCCCCACTGTCCACAGTCATCATTCTCTCCTTCCATAAGCCTAGAACTTTACGGAGTGCTGAAAACACATGCTTCAGTGGAAAATCACCCTCACTTTCTAAGCACTGGCAGTAGACATATAAACAATGATGTAAGTGCAATAAGGGTTTTCACAGAGGTATGGTCAAAGCAATATGGAATCTGCCTATCACGGCTAATGGAAGCTTTCTGAAATAGAGGGCATTTCAGCCACAAAGCATAAAGGCTTACTAAATGGCCATTTGGAGCCCGGAAAACAACACATGGAGACGGCAAAGGATTGAGAAAAACATAGGAGTCAGGAGGGCTGGAGCTCTGAGGAGTGAATGAGAGCTGCAGAGGCTGTCCTGAGGGGCCTGGGAGGCCTTGTATGCTGGGGCCTGGCGTCGTTTACATCATCTCCCCACAGCAAAGGGAAGTCATCAATTAATTGCAAGCACTGGAGCTGCATGATCAGACTGATGTCTTAGACTGACCACTGAGAATTTGAGAAGGGAAGGTGAACAGTATCAAATGCTGCAGAGAAGGGAGGTCTGAGGAAAATGGAAACCTATCCTTTCGAAAGCAATCGTCAGTGGTGACCTCTAGCTAAGAACAATCACAGTGGAATCAGTCTCAACTTCTCAATCAAACATTCAAAGTCAGGTCTAACCCCAAACCACCTCTCCAGCCTTAATTCTCTACCACTTTTACATACATCTAGCACAAAACAAAACAAATTCTCTGTTCCAAGCATTGCAGCATGATTGCCCCACTCTGAGCCTCTGCTCAAGGTACTGCCTGCCAGGTTTGCCCTTGAGCCCAGCTCCAAGACTTTATCAGTAGATAGAGACAGCTGCAATCCTGGCCTCTTCTCAATTCCCACAGTACCTACTACTTTCTAACTCACATCGTGGACATCTACATACTCATCTTATTTTCCAAATGTTCTCCAAACTCTTTTCCAACAAAGGTCTGTCTAGTCAAAGCTATGGTTTTTCTAGTAGTTGTGTATGGATGTGGGAGTTGGACCATAAAAAAAGCTGAGTGTGGAAGAACTGGTGCTTTTGAACTATGGTGTTGGAGAAGACCCTCGAGAGTCTCTTGGACTGCAAGGAAATCAAATCAGTCAATCCTAAAGGAAATCAACCCTGAATATTCATTGGAAGGACTGATGCTGAAGCTGAAGCTCTAATACCTTGGCCACCTGATGTGAAGAGCTGACTCACTGGAAAAGACCGTGATGCTGGGAAAGATTGAAAGCAGGAGGAGAAGGGGACGACAGAGGATGAGATGGTTCGATGGCATCACTGACTTGATGGACATGAGTTTGAGCAAGCTCCAGGAGTTGGTGATGGACAGGGAAGCCTGGCATGCTGCAGTCCATGGGGTAACAAAGAGTTAGACATGACTGAGCAACTGAACTGAACTGAACCTCTTTACAAACTCCACTGGTGATGGAGATGGCAATATAGACCTGCTCAAAGTGCCCAAATAATTCATGCAAAGATGCACAGAGACTTCATGAACACCAACAGACATAAATCACTACAACCTCCTGCTTCAATTTACAGTACTACACATGCAGTATAAAGTAGCACAGCTAAGATCCCATACATTTTATAGTATTTATTTTTTAAAATACATCTCTTATCTAAAAAGAATGTATATAGAAGAAATCTGGAGATTCGAAATTGCTTGTTGTATTCAGAAGCCAAAACATCTTCAGCATACATTCATATATTAGGTGTCAGACTACGACAGATTTAATCAAGCTAAAAAAGAGTTGTAACAACTGGACCATCTTAGCAAGTGTCCCTTCCTGCACATCTCAGTGGTTAAAGAAGGTAGAAAAAAGGGAATTGATGTCAGCTAGCTTGAACAGATTTAAAATGTAATAGAGAGTTCTAAAAGCTACCTTATGGCTACATTTATTTTACAGGAAAATTTTTGGATCCCATCACATCTTTATGCCAACAGCAGATCCATTCTGATGAAATATTTTATTCACTGGGATATTTTTGTTTTATCTTTTACCTTCAACTTCTTTTTCATTTCTGACGTTTCTTGCATCTTCTTATACTCTTTTATCTCTGTGGCTTGAATGGCAGTCTTTGATTTCAAGATCCAGTTCAACAGCTCAGCACTTATAGCATCAAACCTGATTTAAGATTCAGATGTTACCAATTGTCATTCATTTTCCACTATTGTTTCACTTGGCTCAAGAAAGAGAGCAACCACAATGCCGATAGGGCATGTGGTTTTAAACATGCCTCAAAAATAAAGGCAACCCAGAAATACAGTAACCACACAAAATCATATCATACATTTACAGTTTAAAGTATGAAAAGAGGAACAAAGTTGTAAAGTTAATAAATAAAATTATTAAATAAAATTTTTTAAACATTATAAGAAACCCCTTGTATATTTTACAAGCTCTTTGTAGATCATGAAAAACAGATATGGTGAGATACCCACAGGTAACAACAAGTACAGACATTCCTAAACTAATGGTGAGATACCCACAGGTAACAACAAGTACAGACATTTCTAAACTAATGCCTTCTTTAACTCAACATGAAATTACTGAGCCCCATATATGCCAGGCACTGGACTGGGCTCTTAATATAAAGGTAAACCAGGAACGATCCCAGAAATTCACAGGATGCCTCTTAATTCAATCGGGGAGGGACGGCTTCCTGGAGAACAACGGCTTTATGCCCAGGAGTTATCCCTGCAAGAGGAGAACAAAGAAAGGGAGGCATACACTTTGAGCACTGTAAGCAGTTGAGTGCATTTGGAATAGCGAGCACTACCTAAGCAGGGAGGAACAAGAGATGAGGTGGCAGAGAGCCTCTCGGACCAATAACTGGAAGGCCCTGCAGGCTAGCTGAAGGAGCCGGACCTTAACCCAAAGGCAACAGAAAGCCAGAGAGGGGCTTAAAGCATGGGACTGGCATGATTATATTTATCCTTTTGGGTCCCTGAAAAGAAAGAAGAGCGGCAAGTCCAGAGAATAGACGGTGGTAGTCACAGGTGCCAGAACTAAGTAACAGTGGGAAAGGAAAAAGGGGAACAGACCTGGGAGGTGTTGAGAAGGTCAGTTAAAACCACAGTTGCAAGGAGCAAGAGGAGAAACATTCCCTGGGTGCTGGCCATATGCCAGGCCCTTTTCGAAATGGTTTCTGTGCGTTATTAACTCCAGGAATGCTCACAACAACCCTGTGAGTATGCACTATGATTATCCCGTCTAATGATGACGGAATTGAGCTCACAGAGGTTTTAAATAACTTCTCCAGACCACAAAGCTAACAAAGGCTAGAGCTGCGATTTAAGCTGAGAAGTCTGCACTTGTGACCAGGACTCTGCACACAGAACTCAAAGCAATTTCTGTGTATTTTTAGAGATTCTCAGGTAAGCGCAGGTTGTCCTTGCTGATTCTTTTGGGAAACTTGGCTGAAAGGGTTTTCAGTGAATTCTGAGTATTTGTCTTTTCACCAAGGTAAATTTTTCTTGTCATTTGAATGGGATTTTGTGACACTCTAGGTAAATATCCAAAGGTCACAGTATCAGTCAAACCACGGTATACTCCTCATGTCATCTTCACAGCAGATTTCTATTTAATCTTTCAGGAGCACAAACCAAAGATCATGTTTTAAATGACCTTGGAGTCTCAGTCCATCTCTGCCCTCAATATGAGCAAGAACAATGTGAATGCATTAGAGCCTCCATGATCATCTCAGGTCATGTTAATAGATAGAAATCTAGATTATAGGAAATGACTATTACTATGGTGTTAAAAAGAAAAAAAAAAAAAAAAACAACAGCCACTAGCAGCACCAGGAGAGAAGGGGAAATCAACTGTTACTTTTGAATCATGTATTATAAGCTGTGCTATGCAGTTATTCAAGGTTCACACCTGTTCAGACAGCCCATTTTAAGATAAGCTAATAGTGCTTTCTACATCAGACTAAAAATATTAAAGGATCTGAAAATCAAGTCTCACTAGGATGCTTAACAATATTCTGGACTTTAGGACAATGTAAATTAGAATATGAAACGTATCCTTAAATCCGGAAGAGGTACCATATTGAAGTGGGGTGATGTGGTTGCATTTCACTCCAAAATGCAAAACTAGCAGCATGAGTAGACTGAGAAGGGTTTTAAAGTTTAAAAAAAAACAAAAAACAATATTTGGGCAGATTTTCTAATAATGAAATTTCACTGCTATTATAACAAACTGAATATACTCAAGCCTCTATATGTCTAAGAATGAACTGAAGCCATTTGTGCATCAATCAAATCAGACAGAAGACTGTGGAACTCACAACTGGTTGCCCACCCAACAGACACCTCCCTCCCCACATTTCTTCCTAGCTGCCTGAGTATCCCCAGAACACAACTACAGAGATGGAAAACACACGATAGATTTAACCTCCCGGGAACCCAGGGCAGGGCAAATGTCTGAGTTTTGGCCAGTGAGACCAGATTCAGGCAGTTAGCTAATATCTTCCAGAAAAGGCCTTTCTCCCTGATTAAAAAAAAGAAAAAAAAAATTTTATAAGATAAATAAGGAAAAATTTCCCTGCCTGCATGTAAAGCAGGTTATACAAAGTTGTTATGCCAAGTGCTACAGCAGCATCTTGGGACCACGAGAAGACAAGTTTTGCCTTTTACCTGGCTAACATGCTGAGGATGGCAGAGACAAGGTGCCATGATGCTGACCCCCATCATCCCATTAAAACTGCCCCACCTCCAGACTTCTTGCAACGTGAGATAGTCAATGACCTCACTGTATAAGTCACTTTGGGCACAGTATTCTATTTCTTGCAACAGAACTCACCCTATACAACATGGACATGTGTGAGATTGTATAGTTAGGCACTGTGACATTGTGATTTATAGTAAAAAATAAATATTTGGTCTTCGGCCTCGCTTCTGACACAGAGTTCCCAAACTCTTGGAATTTCCAAAGTGATCAGAGCAACAAAGGTGTCATTTGTCATGTTAGTGAGATGACTTTTGAATCCCATCTAAAAAGGTAGGCTGGTTGTTAGGAGACCCAACCTTGTGATTAGAGGGTTTGAACTTTTAGTCTCACCTTCCACCCCTGACCTCAGGGAAGAGGGGAGGGGGCTGGAGGTTGAATCAATCACCAAAGATCAGTGATCTAATCAATCGTGACTTTGTAATTCAGCCTCCCTAAAAACCCACAAGCAGAGGGATCAGAGAGCTTGGGGAGGTGAGCACATGGATGCTCAGGGTGAGCAGGGCACCTAGAGAGGCCGTGGGAGCCCACACTCTTTTCCCATTCTTGCCCTGTGCAGCTCCTCAGTCCAGCTCTCCCTGAATTGTATCCTTTTATAACAATCCAGTCATCTATTAAGCAAAATGTTTTCCTAAGTTCTATCAGCTGCTCTACCAAGTGAACTGAAGCAGAGGAGGTGGTATTAGAAATCTCTGAATTATAGCCAGTTGGTCAGAACTATAGGTAACCATCTGGATTTGTAACTGGCATCTGAAGTCCAGGGAAGAGGCAGTGGAACCCTCTAACCTGTAGCCAGTTGGTAAGAAGCATAGGTAACCTGGCATCTGATCTGCGATGGGGGAGGAGCAGGAGAAAGCAGACCTGGAGGAATAAACCCCTAACCTGTGAAGTTAGAATTGGTACCAGAACCTATTCATGCACCCTAGTCTTTCACAGCCTGCCCACCTTCCAAATGCACAAAGTCAGCACTGGACAGATGCACTGCCCGATACACGGACAGAATATAAACACTCAGGAAATAAAAGGTCCACAGTAAGATCAACATCACAAGCATCTCCCTCATTTGCTGCCTTGGCTCCAGAAGTAAAAGTTCCACAGCTGTTGTTCGCAACTCAGAGGTCCAACGCTTGGTCCTACAAGGAGATGCTGTTAGGAGGCAGGAACGCAGCCTTAATACCAAAACTAAAGTTAACAGGTAAAACTGCAATCCTGCTTTGTCTACCAAAATTGGGGAAATCATATCATTTTTATTCAGGCAAAAGTAACTGCCCATATACCCAAGCACTGGAATTCTACTGTCAAAGGGCAAGAAAACAGCAGTATTCAAGGGCTGCTCTGAGACTATTTGCTCCAGGGCCCGTGAGCATGGTCCCTGGCCCACAGAATAGCCCTGCAGAGAATCCAACACTGGTGAAAGCTCAATGTATGCCAGACATGGCTGTTCCTCCTATCAAGATCCTAAGTTTCTTTTGAGTCAGAAAATGAAACAAATTTTACCAAAGATGGATCTTTGATAACATGAAGGATCTGTTACTAAGACAAAGGAATTAACAAAGAAAGAAAGAAGACATGAAGAGAAAAAAGGAAGGAAAAAAGAAAGATCTAAAGGAATTACTTCCCTGAATTAAGTATCTTTTAAAGGTAAGAAGAAGGAGAGTCACAAAGAATAAGGAGATAGATCTAAAGCAAAACTGTAGGAACTGTGACAGTGGAAGAAAGGATAAACAAAGGATCTTGGACAATTATATCCGCCCACAGTAAACAATGGGAAAGAAAGAACTCAGGAAATGATATATTCTGTCCATGAAGGCTATAGGCACACAGTTCTCCCAATCGAACCAAAGATAGATAAAATCATCCAGATGACTTAGATGCTTAACCAGTATAAATTGGAATATTCAGAAGACTCAGAGGTAGTGAGTGGTTCAGTAGTTGAATTTCCATTACAATAATTATGCTTAAATTTGCATATGATTAGTGATCAGTACAAAATAAGTACCCAGCACAATATATTAATATATCATGTACAAAATAGTTCTCACTTTTTTTTAGCTTCCAAATCCACAGGGATCTGTCTCTTCTTTGGGGGAGGAGGAGGAGGCAGCTCTTGCTTAGACCTTTTTGTAGTTACTTGTTCTCTTAGGCGAACCGTCTCTAAAAGATCCTTCTGAGGAATCTGGGACATTCCCAGCTTTGCAACAGCCTGAGTCACCTGAAATAAAAATCAATCAGGTTTAATGTTTTACAACAGCTTTATTGGGATATAATTCACAAGCCATAAAATTCTCCCTTCGAAAATATACGATCCCATGGTAATCAATATATTCAGAGACGTTGTGCAACCATGCCCACTTTCTAATTCCAGAGTAGGTTTATCATATCAAAAGGAAATCCCATACCCAGTAACAGTCACTCCCATCCTTCTCTCCCTCTTGCCCTCTGGAAATGACTAGTCTTCTTCCTGTCTCTACAGATTGGTTTATTCTGGATATGTCATGTATTAATAGATAGAATCAGTGCATTAACCTTGTGACCAGCTACTTTTACTTAGCACAATGTTTTCAGGGGTTCATCTCTGTTGTATCATGTATTGGTACATTATTTCATTACTACTTAATAATATTCCCAGGTGGCGCTGGGGGTAAGGAGCTTGCCTGCCAATGCAGAAAATGTAAGAGATGCAGGTTTGATCCCTGGGTTGGGAAGATCCCCTAGAGTAGGAAATGGCAACCCACTCCAGTATTCTTGCCTAGAGAATCCCATGGACAGAGGAGCCTGGAAGGCTACAGTCCATAGGGTCGCAAAGGGTAGAACATGACTGAAGTGACTTGGCAGACAGCACACAATAATATTCCATTGTATGAATAGACCACATTTTGTCCATCCATGTATCTATTGATGGATATATGGGTTGTTTCACTTTTTGGCTATTGTGAATTTTACTGCTATGAACATTCATGTACAGAACAAAATGTTATTTTTTATCAAGGTGCTAAAATATTTTTCAAATTTATAAGATTATTTAAGAAGAAAAAATCGTTTTGGAGAAAGAAATGGCAATCCACTCCAGTATTCTTGCTTGGTAAATCCCATGGACAGAGGAGACTGGCAAGCTACAGTTCATGGGGTCACAACTGAGTGACTGAGTACAAAGATCATTTAATGGATTCATGTCTAAGTGTTATCAGTTACTAATGGTCGAATGACTGGATATCAGAAGTTTTTTAAGGTCTATTAAAATTTACTTTAGAAAACTAAAGAAGACACATGTCAATTTTTCAATTTTACAGTTAACCAGGTATAAAAAAACAACTTTTTAGTTAAACTACTGCTCTTATTTCATAAACACTAAAACAAACCTGAATATATAATTTCTACTTAATGGCACAAGGTATTACCCAAAGCAAAAGGTACCTGGTTGGAGGAATCTTCCAATCTCTGAACCAAAGAATCCCATCTCTGAGTCAGTTCCTCTGAGTCACTGTTGATCTTCTTGGATGTCTTAGGATTATCAAGTAACTGCCCCACATCCTGGCCAATCTCACTCAGCTGATCCAATGCTTGGCGCTTCATTTCCATGTCTTCCTTCAAAATCTAGTATTTCAGATACTTATTAGATTACTGCATCACTTTAAACAGGAACTTATCTTCCTGTTCCCCAGTCAGAAAATGTAAACATGTGTATTTTATAGTAAAATTTATCTGCTTTAATTCCGTAAAGCTAAAACATAAGACTTCTGGTTCTAGATCGTCACAGGGCAGCATTCTAGTGTTAGGGAAATGAATTCCTTCACTAAATTGTATTAACCACTGACAATAAACACTAAGATATCAAGGGCTCACAGAGAGATGCTGACGACATCACTTACGGCCAGTCGTCGAACACTGACACTTAGCTCCTTTTGGTCTTTGAAGTTGCTCGTCTGGACTTTATTTAAAGATTCTTCTTTTTCAGTTAACCATGCTTTCAACAAGCACTGCAAATAATAACCAAAGTTAGAAATATATTTAGGGAATCATTTGGTAATTCAATTCAATCAAGTTCTAAAATCTCTCATTTTTACATTACTAGAGGCTTTATCCACATCTGAGAGAAGGATTTCAAACCCCTAAGCCTGAGGCATAAAAAAAACTCAGAAAGATATCTTTGCTTAAGATATAACCCTTCACAGATTTGCAACTGATCAACCTAAAATTAGCCCCAAACCTGGAAAACTAAACCTAATTCTCAGGGAGTCTAATGGCTCTAAAAGGCTAAATCCAACTATCCAAGTCTCCAAAAGAAGCACTTTATAACTCTCTAGATGCAGAGGGAAGGTCAGAGATTTTCTTTTCTCAGTCCCTCTGTTAGGGGATGAGAGAGAAGTCAAGTTACATGGCTTGTAAACTGCAGGACCAGATCACAGACCCACACCCCAAAGCCGATAGTTTTCCATGTATCTTGCAGGACAACCACACTAATGCTCCAGATTCAACAGCAGTTATGATTAGAAGGAGAAGCCTGAGGCTAGTCCAAAGCCAGTATGAAAATTTTTAAACTTCACTGGCCAACAACGCATGTCTTTTAGACAGAAGATATTTAGTAAAGAGCTAAGTTTGAAGTAGGGATTAAAAAAAAAAAAATGGCCGCCTTAGTATAATTTTTCCCAAAATGTAGTATTTACCACAGAAACCTTCTTCTATAGAGTTGAGGGGGGCAATTCTTGGTTCTGTGTTTGGAATCAACTCTTTCTCAAGTTTGATTTGTCAGTTTACTTAACAACCATTCTCTGCCTTTATATTTCACCCAGAAAAGTACAAATATTAAGAAAATAATGTAAATATGAATTCTGTCCTCAATGTACTAAGAGTTATCACAAAAATACCTGTGGCACCAGATAGAAAGTGCAGACACCACAAAGAGACTGCTTCCAGTTTTGAAATACTGGGGGGGGGGGGGGGGGGGGGGAGTTCATAAATGACTTCATGGTCCCTGACCGATATCTCACCTGCAAAGCCCACTGGGATACTGGGGAAAATAAGGTGGAATCTAAGTGACATGGTCTGACCTCTTTTGGGTTTAGTCTAGCTTCACTTGCTTACAGGGGGCAGTGTGCAAAGACCTCACACCTAACAGGATGGATGAGAGTTCCCAGAGGAGAGTCACTGTGCCCACCACCTCAGCTGGGCAGCCTGTAGGCGGAAGTGCTGTGTGGGATGCCTCAGACCAAGATGGCGGCAGCAGGTATAGAGGCTGCACCTGGCCTGTGATCTGAAGCCACAAGAACGCTGCCCCCTCCCCCCAAAAGGAACCCTCTAAATCAGCCTCACCAATGACTGCCAGGGAGAGCACTGACTAGAGCACAAGCTCACTCCTTTCCATTCTTTCATCAAAGCATAAACCTTTGCTTCTGAGCCAGACAGTTTCATTCTACAGGCTCGAATATCACGAGGCAAGAGGGCTCTTGGAGGAGCCGGACTCACAAGAGTTGGTAACTGTCGGGGAGAACTTAAAAGCAGATAGGCAAAAAGGTATTTCAAGGCAGATGCCACACGTAAACAAAAACACGGAGATTAGAAAACTAGTTCGCTCTTTCAAAAAAAACGAAAACGATACAAAGACAAAAGCCTTAAGGAATCCACCATGGGCCATGGGTTGAGAATACAGCACTGAGAAGAAACAACAAAACTCTTGTGGCCACGACAGTCTCAGAATGAGCTACAAAATGGGAATTCAGGATCTGAACGCTGAGTACAAGAAAGGACAGAGGGAAAGTTTGGAAAGGTAGGTTAAAGTCAGTCACAGAACATCCCGCTGCCCACACTTGCCTCATGCTGGAGAAATTTTGAACTAATTCTCAGAACACATTTCTAACTATCTTAAAGCCTCTGCAACTAAGTGAAAAATAATCCCTTGAAAGACTGTTTAATTCAGACACAGTTGATTGGTCTTATTCTCTGTAACAACAAATTATCAATTAAGTACCAATGTTGGCTTCATGTCTACATTTTAACAAGATTCCTCCTTCCATATCACTAACAGAAGGCCATTCAAAGGTCAGTTTTAAACCTAACATAATAAATGGCCAAAATCCTAGCCACTCTCTATTTTTAAATATTTTTAATTACCAAATTGTGATTCTTTCTGAATTTTAAATTATTTTAATTCTTTAATTATTTTAAGAAGAATAACACAGTGGTCCCCGAGCAATCAGTCTCCTTACAATCATTAATGAAGTTAAATTTAAATTATTCTATGTGACTTTTTAGCCTGAAGAAAAGATAAGTAAATTTAAATCTTTGTAAAGCAAACTGTAAATATTTCAGAAATCAGAATCAGGTCTATCATGCGATTCTTAAGAGGAAAATTCTGGTCAAAGATTGAGGGCAGGTGGCAGTAACTTACAATTTACATGGGGACAAATTTTGCAACCTGCTTTTCAAGAGTTCTCTCTGCCACCATATTTAGTAAATCACAAAACAGTATACATTTGTTTTTATCCCATGAAAAGAATATAGATGCTTTTTGTGGATGGAAATAAAAGGCATTTAAAAGAATCACAGTGGACCCTGGGATGTGGGAACAGAGTATCTGTTTATTTTCTATACCACAACTCTTTGGCATTTTGAAGAAAAGTCTTGCTTATTTGTATTCTGTTTTGATGGTTGCTTTTCTGGAAGGATGGAGATGGGCAAAAGGCCACGAATTAGACTGAAAACATTAAGTGGCAGCTTTGCACCAAAGGTTCGTTTTCTATGTTAATCCTTGGTGGAAAAAAATTAGCTACGTGTTCAATCATCAGTGTTGCTAAATAATATTTTTCTTGTTAATTTCAGCAGTTATTCTGATTAAAATTCACAGGTTTAAAGTTCACAAAGTACTGAGTGGATTCATTTATCATTATGTACTGAGCACAAATCATGCACTAGGTTGTGTGGCTACAAGTTCAAATACATTATCCAACACAAATGCAGTAAAAATTATGTCAAGTACATCCTAAAATTAGCATATCTAAAAACTAATCTAACTAATGAACAAGGTGAAATTGTTATTACAATGCAGCTAATTTATAATGTAATCTCTAAGAAGGAACTGCATTATAAAATGGACAGAAATCTGACTTTTAACATAATAAATAATTATTTATAAATTTTCCTTCTAAAGAAAGGAAATATAAGTGATTTATTCAAAAGCAATAATTAATGATGAGTTACTTTTCACCACTTTTGCCCATTATGTATACAGCTTCATACCTGTTCTTCCAATAATTCCTGCCACAAAATGTTGATTTCCTGCAACCTATTCCAACGTTCTTCAGTCCATCGGCACACAGCCGTCCAGCGTTCACCAAGTTTCTAGAAAAGGAAAAACCGATCGTTTATCAACAAAGTCTTAAGGGATAGTTATCACAATCCTTAAAGAAATTCCTGACATCCATTGTTCTTTATTACAGAGTAGTAATTATGAAAAATATCATGAAAGTTACTTTAAATAATACAGATGAATTTCATAAAATTATAGATAAGACAAACTAATTTCCATAGAATTTAACTATCTCATACTACACAGCTAGAATATGGCACAACTTGAACTCTATCTTGTAACTTTTGACTCCAAACTCCAGCTCTTTTCTATTTTATTGTGGTTTTTATATGAGAATTTGACAGCTTCACATATACCTTCAAAATACAGCAAATGTATCGACATTCAAGGCTTCCATTTTTTCAGACTATAATTATCTTTAAGACAAAATTCAGTGCGTGGCTAATTTCTTAACCATTTTCACATGCCAAGACAATCTTCATCAGTAGCACCAAAAATTATGAAAAAAAAGTTTTTAACTTATAAAAACTGTTTTGATTTGTTCTGTTTATATTGCATGATCCACAGAAAATTCCACCAAACAGCAACAGAATATGATAAGTATTAGCCAGACTAAATAAATAAATTTGATACATTTAAAAAATCAATCTTCAGGATGACTTTCCCAACTAAATATTACCACTTTATAAATAATGATTAACAAGTTCTAAATTTTATTTCTTCATTACTTACCTGTGAGCAAGAATTATTTAATGCATATTATCTTATTTCAATTTTTATTATCAAAATGGGCTTTGTATAGTGCAAAAGTAGAGAACATAGAGCCAGAAGACAGGTCTCTTGTCTCCGCATGAAAACTCATTGCCTGTTTAAACCTCAGGGCCTCCCCACAACCACTATGAATATCCTCACTGTTAAATAGACAAGACATGAATGCCTACCTCTAAGATTACTGCAGAAACTAAATACTGTTGCACCAAAATCTCAAAACTACTACCCAATTTTGAATGTTGTAAAAGAGAAAGAATTCCATATAATAATTTATAGTTACTGAAAATCATCAACTGAAAGTTACTGAAATCATCATCTGGCAACATTATATCAGTTAATCCAAGTTCAAATAAAATAAAACTGACCCTTGAACAATTGGGTGGGTCCACTCATACTTGGATTTTTTTCAATAAATACATAGGAAAAAACTTTGGAGACTTGTGACAATTTGAAATGAAGACAAACCACAAAGCGTAGAAACATCAAAAAAAAATTAAGAAAAAGTTAAGCATTCAGGAATGCATAAAATATCTGTAGATTGCATATAACATACAAAATATGTGCTAATGGACTATTTGTTACCAGTACAGCTTCCAGTCAACAATAGGCTATTGCTAGTTAAGTTTTGGGGAAGTAAAAAGTTATACTAGGATTTTCGACTGCTTGAGAGGTCAGTGCCCCAAACCCCATGTGTTTAAGGGTCAACTGTACCAAAAACTCTATAAAAAAGAGACTTGTAAACATACAGTATAGTCACAGCAAAAAGAAGCAAGTTGTCAGGGTTCCCAAAACTGATGCTCACATTTACACATTGATCTACCAAAGAAACAGGGATCTTAAATCCTAATGACTGAAATTCTCAAACTTGACATTTTTTTTTTTTTTAGTTCTACCAGTTTATTGTGACCAACCCATCTCCCTCCACCCTCGTGCACACATGCTCAGGCATGTGACCCCATGGACTGCAGCCCGCCAGGCTCCTCTGTCCGTGGACTTTTCCAGGCAAGAATACTGGAGTGGGTTGCCATTTCCTTCTCCATCAAACTTGACATTTTGTTACATATTCACTGGGCCCCACTCCTAAGTGAGGCCCAAAAACATGCATTTTAACAAATTCGTCAAGTGATCCTGAGCAAGAAGTCTGTGGATCATTTGTTGGGATCAGTTCTTGAGCTTCAAAATCTTGTTCATACGCCCAAAGGCTGAAGTAAATGAATGATACCCTGGTTCTCCTATAAACCCCCATGCTGTGGAACCCTAGCTCGGAAGTGCAACCTAAAGAAGATGACTTTACTAACCTAAATAAACAGACTGAACATGAAGAATAGGGACAGTGTGTGACTGGGGCTCAGACCCCAGGTGCCTTAGCACTATCCTATTTTACAAGTCCTTACCTGTAACTGATCTTCCAAAACAGCTGTAGCACTCTCGCCACTGTTTTCATCAACAATCACCACCATGTGAGTCAGGGAATTCACTTTCACTTGTTCAGCCTCAAGATCATTCTGCAAACTCTTGAGAAAAAATTCAGATAAACCATTATGTCTACTCTTTCCCATTTACATATTTAAAATCTACCCAGTTGTCAATAGTAATTAAGGACACTTAATGAGGCATCCTGTTTAAATTTCCAACCATTAGCCTAAGTGTTCTCCTAAGGAAACAAACCCATTATACATCTTTACATTTCATTATGAACCAAAGCAATTTGAAAATGCAATGTCATAACAGACTGCAAATGTTATGTCATCAATTTTACTATTTTTATTTCAAGTTTTGGCTGAAAGAATAAGAGAAAAGGTGTCACTTAATCAAGTTGAGTGCATACAGTAGGGATTAAGAATATAGAATCATTAAATCAAAAAAGTTCCAAATTTAAAACACAGAGTCAGAGATCATTTTATCTAGTACAACACTGTATAAAGTGACATAAGTCAAATGCGATTTGATAGTCAGAAGCTGTTCTGATTTGTTAGTCAGAAGCTGCTCTGGTTTGTTACCATGTAAAGCAACTGGGGTATACAGACAATTTTCTTCCTACCTCTTCCATGCGAAGAGAATGCCAGGTCACAAGACATATGTATATAGGTAATTTATTCAAATACTACCAATAGTGTTGTCAAATGCCTTGAGTTTTTGTCTTTAATGTACCCTTAAAGCTTTATTTACCCATTATGTAGATATTTCATTGAGAAATAAAATTCTTCAAACATTTTGCAGAGAAGCTATTTTACTCTACCTTTCCTTGACTATGAAAAGTTATCTCTTAAATTTCTGACCTCCCTCATAGCTAAGTTGGTAAAGAATCTGCCTGCAATGCAGGAGACCCCAGCTGAATTCCTGGGTTGGGAAGATCCCCTGGAGAAGAGATAGGCTACCCACTGCAGTATTCTTGGACTTCCCTTGTGGCTCAGCTGGTAAAAACTCTGTCCACAATGCAGGAGACCTGGGTTCGATCTCTGGGTCATGAAGATTCCCCGGAGAAGGAAAAGACTACCCACTCCAGTATTCTGGCCTGGAGAATTTCATGGACTGTATAGTCCATGGGGTCGCAAAGAGTCGGACATGACTGAGCAACTTTCACTTTTCAGACCACTCATAAAACTCATGAATCCTCACCTAGGAAAAGCAGCAATAGCTTTCCTGGAAGGATTATGAACAGATCAGTCTGAGGGTTTCCTTATTTCCCAACACGTTGCATTCATGCAATAGACTAGGGTTCTTAACCACTCATGAGTCCAAAAAAAAAAAAACCTTAAGAATCTTACGAACACTATGTACTTTCATAACAAACCTCTACATGCCCATATAAAATTTGACCTTCGCTTTCATCCCTGGCTCAGAAAACCCCCATCCCTACGCACTCCACCCTGCAAGCAAGCTACTGAAGGAATGTCCCAGCTCTGTGCTAATGACAGACGCCATCAGCCCCTGAGAATTCTAAGTGCTGCTTTTCCATATTTGATAAGGTATAAAAGAAATATGAGCCAGATTTACTTTATGATCTTCTAGCAGCTTTTGCAGGGATTTTAAGTCATCATCCAGGGGGCAAGTTTCCATCTTTTGAATGCGTTCTTCTGTGAGCGTCAACCAGGCGGACAGCTGCTGTAGCTGTTTCCTCTGGAGTTCCATGAGGACATCGTGCAGCCTGTCCAAGGGGAGCAAAGCGTTATCCCCACTCCTTCTTCCCTTTGCAAAGGCACACACACACTCCAGGCATCAAGGAAATGGGGCAGGGGACATACTCTTGTCTAACGTTTTAAAGCAACATTTAGTCTTTAAATATAGAAACCAGCAAAAAAATTATTTTCTTCCTAAATGGAGTCAATTAAATGCACTCCAAGAATGCAAATAACAGCACCCTCTATTTGTATCAGAATCATTGTTTCTTTAATCAGGAATTCCTGCCTATTAAATAGGTGGAAATTGCAATGGAATAGTTTGCTCCTTAACATACAATACACGAAATAAAACGAACCGTGGAGGAAAACTACTCTTAAAAATGTTATAAAATGGAATTCTAGGTAAATATAACATAGCCCTATCTTCATGTCAGAGTTGATGGTTAGCCAATTTTAATACTGCAAAGTCCACATACAATGTCTTCGCCCTTTTTTTTGCTGATTTCTGTATGGCCACTTTTACCTTTTCATTTGGTTAACATATCAAAGGGGAAATACAGATCATAAAAATTCCAGCAATGCTACATACAGAAGAGTCAAAATGCGATAAGGCAAGTTCTCTAGTTATCTTGTTCCCACAAACATGTAGACTTTTACTTGTGTTAAAGTGGGCAACAGGGACTTTCAGTGGTTAAGACTTCACCATCTAAAGCAGAAGGTAAGGGTTTGATCCCTGCTCAGGGAGCTAAGATCCCACAAGCCTTGTGGACAAAAAACCAGAACATAAACAACAGAAGCAATATTGTAACAAACTCAATAAAGACTTTTTAAAAATTTTTAAAAGAAAACAACTGGGCGCCATCTTGCAGCAGTGTTCATTCCTGGGCTTCCACTCACCGGGACTGTCTGTCCATACTTTCGACTCTGAGCGCCTCCCATCTGGCATTCAGCAGGGACATTTGTTCCTGAATCTCAAACTCCTCTTCATCTGTCAGAGTTCCTTGTGTTATCAGTTGGTTTCCTGCCTGCAAGACGTTCCCCACACTGCTCTGGTGTGCTGTCAGCTCCATCATAAAAGCCTGGGAAGGTACATCATTATGATCCATGAGCTGCTCATTGAAGAAAAGCAAATCTTAATAAATTGTTAATGCCCAAATATCAATGCTATGGGGGGGGGGGGGAGTGACCATGCAGACTTCAAATAAAGACGACTTTGATCCATTTTTTTTTTAAGCTCTGAATATAGGAAATAAGCAGCTGACCTAAGGAAAAAGAAAAGATCAAAGAAGACCATGTTACATCTGATAACACCAGCTATTTTTATGTCAATGCTGATTATGCTACTGATAGATCATGAACATGGAACTATGAGAAGATATAATAAAATACCATGCTCACCCAACAGGACTTGCTTAAAGAAAATGACCATTTGTATTATTTTCAAACCAAAACAGCAAATCAGACCTGTCAATTAATATAGCACCAAAAACTACTTAATCAAAAGAATTCTTCACATAAGCCAATCACTACAATGCAATATATTCCTGAAATGGTAGGAAATTTTCATTATATAAAAGTATACAAGAATACTGGATACAAGTTTGCTTAATCATATAACAAATAAAAATAACCACTTCCTAGGGAGCATTCAAAATTTAAAGACTTGATGCACTGATTAGCCATTTTATGCCTTAACTATAATAATACACTTCCAAAACGAGCAGTACTAAAGCGTTGATTTTGTCAGTGGCTCCACTGAATCTACAAATTATGGTAAGATCAAAATTGAAAATTTAATTCCAACGTACAGTTAATCACCCATGCCAGTTTTATAATGAAGCCCTATTTAAAAATTCTAAGTCCTCAAAAAAAAAAAAAAGTGTAAAGCAGAGACATTACTTTGCCAACAAAGGTCCATAGTCAAAGTTATGGTTTTTCCAGTGGTCATGTATGAATGTGAGAGTTGTACTATAAAGAAAGCTGAGTGCCAAAGAATTGATGTTTTTGAACTGTGATGTTATAGAAAATTCTTGAGTCTTCCTTGGACTGCAAGGAGATCCAACCAAATTCATCCTAAAGGAAATCAGTCCTGAACATTCATTGGAAGAAGGACTGATGCTGAAGCTGAAGCTCCAATACTTTGGCCACCTGATGCTGGGAAAGACTAAAGGCAGGAGGAGAAGGGGACAACAGAGGATGAGATGTTTGGATGGCATCACCAATTCAATGGCCACGAGTTTGAGCAAGCTCCGGGAGTTGGTGATGGACAGGGAGGCCTGGCGTGCTGCAGGCCATGGAGTGGCAAAGAGTCGGACACGACTGAGCGACTGAACTGAACTGCACTGAAGTCCTCAAATAATGCCATGAAATTTCTGTGGAGCAGAATTCAGTAAACAATATACATGAGGGTACATCTCCTGATTAAGACACAGGCACCATGGCACATATATCCTGCTCATCAGCCACAGATTACTTACTTCATGGGTTGCAAACTGGTCTTTGACTTCTTCCACATCATCAGAAATGTCATCCTGCTCCTGAAAAGTGTCCTCGGCAGAAAGCAACCAGGTCAGCACTTCCTCCAGTGCTATCTGATAGTTGTCCAGATCCATGTCAACCTCCGTGGCAGTGCTGGGGGTCTCAGCTCGGGGACTCTCTTGCTCCTCCTCTGGTGCCGAGCTCTATAGAAACAAATCCAAGAAAATCCACAAGCATCGTGAAGACAGAAGGTATTCAACAAAGGCACACCGGATGGAGACCCAAGGTAAACACCACTGTGTCTTAAGGCATCCGTTGGATTCTCAGGAGCTGGGTGAGCAATGCTGTGAACTAGTCAGAAAGCATTTATTCATGCCAAGGTGGCAAAGAGTACAAAAGCTGTATCACTCGTGGATTCGATACTCAGATATACTCTAATATAGCTGTTGTTGTTCAGTTGCCAACTCCTGTCTGACTCTTCGCGACCCCATGGACTGCAGCACACCAGGCTTCCCTGTCCTTCACTATCTCCCAGAGTATACAGTTGGGAAGAGACAAATAACCCACATGAATCACTTCTGAACAAAAATAAAAAGGCTCTTGACAAAGTTATAAATTCCATGGGTCTGACAAGGGATGCTATTTGAATTCATCAAGGGATAGAACAGGAAGTTTCACAGAGAATCTGGAACATGCTGGACCTTGAAAGGGTAGATGTCATTTAAAGAGAGCAATTAGAACCCTTGTTAAATTGCTTTTACTGAATAGCATTTTAGCATTGCATTTTAGACACTAAAAGACAGCCATACGTATACAGGCTATTGTACTGATGATATTTTTCTGAGGCTATTGTACTGATGATATTTTTCTGAGGCGGTAACCCTCTAGTTTACTAGCTGGGTTTTTTTCTTTTTTTTTTAAAAGCCTGTGGAGTAAGTTATTCCAAACTCCTTCTAAGCAATGGAGTATTTTCTTATATACTTCAGAATTGTATAACCAAACTAACCACCTATCTCATTCACAAGTTCCCTTCCAGAGCAAAGTTCTTTAAAATTTGCCTACAGCCTGTCTCTACCTTTTCACCTCTCATCCACAGTCTTCATGTATCTGAAACATACAAAAATGTACAGAAAACAACATAAGGAAAGCCCATGTATTTAACAACTATGTTTGTTAACACTCCCTTTCATGCTGATCAGGTATTGGTCCCTCCCACACACCTGGAAAGTATTTTGCCACTGTTACCAATAAACTTCTCAATGATAAATCCATTCTTCTAGCATCATCCTTAGAAGGATCATGTAATGAACACAAAACTAGGACATTTTTTATCATCACAGTGCTAGAACAACATACATAATCCAGAACTGTTTAAAGCAAAGCCAGAAGTCTGGTCACCTTCTGATTCTTAAGCTCTCAGTGGCATTCTATACATCTGACCTGTCCCCGCCCTCTCGAAGTTCTCCTTCCGCTGCTTTAATACCACCACCTTGGTTTTTCTCCTAGTTCAAAAGCATTTGCCAACATGTACGTAATGCAGCTCCTCAAAAGTAAGTCCCAGGCCCTTTTTTAATTCTCTTTATGTACTTTGCCTGCATGGCTTCATCCATTGCTATTAGATTTCAAGAACCATCTATTAACATATCCTATTACCTTTATATTTCTCATCCCAAACTCCTATGTCCCACCTTCCTTAACATTTCCACTTCAATTTTTCATAGGCATATCAAACCTTGTCAATATTTAAACCCTTCATTTTTTTCCCCCAAACCTCTCTTGGCTTCCCATTTCAGTAAATGGCTCCTCCATGCACTTAACTAACTCCTCCAGCTAAAATCCAGGGGGCCAGACGTGGTTCCTCTTTTTCTTTCCCCTCCTACATTTAATATGGATAAGCAATTCCTACCTTCAAAATTTACCTCAAACCCATCCAGGTCTTTGTATCTTCACAACTGTCATTTGACCTCAGGACTACAACAGCCTGATCACCAGTGTCTTCAGCTCCCTGTTACTATCCAAACTTCTACCTCCACCATCCACTTCTCACAGAGCAGCGGGAATGATGTTTGGAAAATGCAATTATATCCTAAGACTTCCCTGGTTAAAATCTTCCACTGCTTTCTTAATGCTCTTAAGATACAATTGAAAATTCTTAACATAGTTTATAAAAATACTGTGGCAGCAAGAAACAGAGTGAGTGAGTGTGTGTGTGTGTAGGGCCGGATTTCAATTAGGTTAATCAGGGAAGTCTTCTCTGAAAAAGTTCCATTGAAACTGGGGAAAGACGGGAAGCTTGCCATGCAAACAGTGGGTGGAGGAGCGTTTCATGGAGATCAGCCCACAGGTACAAGAATCTGGGGGAAGGAGAGGAGAAGTCTCCCATGACTGGAGTGCACTGGCCTGAGATGAGTTGGGGCAGGGGGCTGGGCCTTGTAAACTACAAGCGGAGATGAGGTCTTTAATAAGTATGAGAGCTGGAACAGAAAGTAAACACACCCCAAGATACTTTGAAGGAAGAAACCAAAGGGACCCGGTAAATGACATGCAGGAGCTAAACACAATCAGTGAGCCCATAGATGAAACACTGGATAATTAGGAGAGAGATGATGCCAAAGAGAGAGAAGGAAAAATGAGTTAAGTTCTGGACCTAAAACTCTGACACTGGGAAGCCAGAATAATCCTGGAGATCATTTAGTACCAAACCTCCATATTCTAATGAAGATACCCAAGAACTAGGAAAGTTAGTGACCAGCTAAAGGTTATTAAGATAGGCACTAGGGTCTATGAGGTGGAAAATGGAAGGTGTTATCTAAATGCCAAGTGTTCAGAAGGTATTCATTCAAATACAAGAGGAGATGTTTGACTGAGAGATCAATTTCAAGAGAAATTCAGGAATTATTTACTGACCAACTAATGCTCTAAGCACATGTCTGTAGAAGGAGAAAGAGAGGAAGGCGGGCTATCAGCACTCATTGAAAAGTAGAAGATAGCAAGACAGGTCAAAGAGTAGATGATTTACAACTTGACCACATCATATTCCTTCCATTAACTTAATTCAGCTTCTAAGGCATTAATGAAAGCATGCAGATGAAGAGTTTAATGTCAATACACTGCTCTTTTTTATTATTCAGTTATCCATATAACATGTATCTGGGCTTCCCTGGTAGCTCAGACAGTAAAAGAAGCCACCTGGTATGCAGGAAATCTGGGTTCAGCCCCTTGGTTGGGAACACACCCTGGAGAAGGGAATGGGAATCCACTCCAGTATTCTTGCCTGGAGAATCCATGGACAGAGGAGCCTGGTGGGCTGCAGTCTATGGGGTCATAAAGAGTCAGACACTCTATGTCTGAGCAACTAACACATACACTCACATATACATACACACACATATCTATAGTCTTTCTAAAATTCTTTTCCCAGTTAGATTGTCAGTGAATATTGAGCAGAGTTCCCTGTGCTAGACAGTAGGTTATCCATTTTAAACACAGCAGTGTGGACATGTCAATCCCAAACTCCCTAATATACTTGCTCTTAATCAAACAGCATGTTATGCAAAAGCATGATCATCCTAGGCCCTAACTCCGGCCTTGCTATGTGAAACATATATTTTCCCTTTTAAAAAGTAAAATCAGTAAAGTTGTGGTTTTCCATTACATGCACATGATGGTGACAGATGCTAACTGATAAACTGAAGCTCTGATGCTGAGAAATCAAGATCCTCTCAGTCAAGGAAAAAACCCTCAGAACTATCTTACCTAGTACCTTACAAAAAACAAATACGGCAAGTCAAATATATTAATAAAAATTTACCTGTACTTGTATGTTAATTTCTCCCTCTTCACATTCTTTCTTATATTTCCTTGGAAGTGTTTCTACCTCACGAATGGCATCTATGGTGACTTGCTGAGGGAGCACTTCAAACAAAGATGTTAAATACATAATTATGGATTTCTTGTCAGGAAGCTGAACTGCGACATCTAAAAGTGAAAGAAAATAAGAACCAGCTTAAATTAGATGTCCAAAGTATGTGAACTGCTCAATATTAGGCATAAAATAACTGTCCTTAGTGCCCATAAACAATACTAGTATACTATCTTTGCAATACCACAGCTTGGTAACTTTCTTATAATATATGAGACACAGGTAAAGATGATTACCTATGGATTTTTGTGCAATATCCCATTCCTTAAAAATCTTCCCTTACAGTTTCCCCCACAAGGCTAAAAGATAAGCTACCATTTAAGGTAATGTCACAGATTTCATTCATATTATGAAAATAAGTCTAGACTTCAGTCTTGCAACATTCTTAGGTAAAGTTTTCACATCATATATAAGAAGCTCGTTCATACAAAAAGCACATTTTAATGAAATGAACCAAACACTAAATTGTTTGTCTAATAATTTTGTTTTCCAAAAACGTTAAATCTTATGCTGGTATTTATTAACTATTCTCCAGTGATGTAATTAAATTTCCTCCTGAAGGATCCTAGAAATTGTTAAGCACAAAAGTATTATGTCTATAATAAAAACTCTTGTGCCATATTTCAAAAGGAAAAACACTTCCTTAACTCTCACAATTCTTTCTACAAAGAGAAAAAACAACAACAACAGACAAACAAACAAATACTGCTTTTCAAGTATTCAAAATTGTAAAGCAAAACCAAGGTTGAAATTAAACACTGAACAATACCTTCAGGATCTAATAGCTTTTCAATTCCCAAATAAGTTTGAGCCTTGCTGAAGGCATGTTCAAGTCTCTCAATTGGGGACATATCGACAACTCTATCCCAGCTGAAGAGATCAGGTCTGAAATTAGCATGCAAATAAAATTCAGTGATGATGAAATATGTGATGAAAAAGTTGTTACTGTTATAATCATATACATTTCAGTTTTTTACTTGTTTATTTGTGAATATAAATTTAAAAGTTTGTCTTTTATATCCCCAAAGTTTGTCAAATATATAATACTTTATAAAATATAAATATGGACATGACAGGTAAAACATTCTAAGATTTTTGTATTGGTTAAATATGCTGTTAAAATTTTGGAGCAGCCACTGAATGACTAGAAATGGTATAATATTTCCCAAATAGTGAAAGAAAAAAAAAAGGAGGAAGAACCTACAAGAAGACAAGAAGAAAAAGTAAGAAAAATGAGCTCGAAATAAAGTTAAGAATGAACTTCTGTAAATACATCAGTTATCACAATAATGTTAATGGACTAAAATCTCTGATTAAAAGACCAAGATTAGCAGAATAGAAAACCCAGCTCTAATCCCTTCACAGGATATTTCTAAGGCGAAAATCCCTAAGAGAATTTCCATCCACCCCGTTCCATAGAGCTATTGTTTAGTATTTCATGTCTATCGTGATTTTCTTTTAATCCCACAAATTGGACATGATTGTCACCCTAACTGCTTACAAGTTGATCATTTTCTTTGAGCTCTATCTGCTCTTGCACCTTGGACCGGCCTACCCTTCTGAAATTTGCCTCGCTCACCCCAACCCCCAGTTCCCTCTCTGACTCGTCTCCTGTTACACCCCTTACTCACACCGCTGCACCCAAGGACCTCCCACATGCCAGGTAATTCCTCTCATCTTGCGTGATAGGTTTTTCTTCAGCAATATTTACCACTTCTATAGGCTACACAACTCACATTTCCATTTTTTAAAAATTGCCTGCTTCCCTCTATTTGAACATTAATTCCAAGTAGGAGGACTGGGATTTTTGTTTGCTTTTTATCTCTGTTCTACGTCCTGTGCCCAGCACACAGAAGCTACTCCATACATATTTGTTCAATCAAGCAATAGATAGAAAAATGTTTTAGCTACAATTCAAGTTTTCTGACAGCATCTCTTAACCAACCAGAAACAGAGGACAACCTCCTTAAACTGATAAAGGAGATGAAGAAGACTAGGTTTTTTTTAATCAGATAAAAGGTATATAAAAAAAAAATACAGCAAATAGCAGAGCTATGGTAAAACATTAAAGAACAAGACATTCTGCCTCAGTACTACCAATTTAGATCAACATTGTATTGAAGAACAAGGCATAAATGAAGGGGAAAGAGAAGAGGAGAGAAAGAGAGAGGAAGGGAGGGAAGGAGAAAATAAATGATTATAATTCATGATCATGAAAAAAACCTACAGTAATAAAATAAAACCTACAATAACAAATTCAAAATTTATCAGAATTTAACAGTCTTCTAGCTATAAGCCATAGAAAAGTCAACTGCATTTTTATATATCAATAAAGAACATACAGGAAATAAAACTTGAGACAATAAATAATTTACAAGAGGGATAAAACACATAACAAATTTTGCTGTTCACAATTAAATTCTTGCTGCATCTGGAACTTATTTGGGATATGGTGATGCAGGAATCCAACTCATCCGTTTCCACTTATGCCACACCATCTATCAATCTGCAGCACTGGCTCATCTGTAGACCAGAATGGAGCTATTTCTGAGCTATTTATTCCCTTAGGTTGAACTACATGAAACTGCCATTCTTATGTGTCAAAAACAGTCAAATATTGGCAATTTCTTATGCTTCAGCTTATTATTACATTGTATTTTATTTGTAGTGCTACATAGTCTCAATTAATACAGCTTCATAACTAGTCTTGCTTTCTGTTTGGAAAGTACTTCGGCCTGTCTCTTCTTCAAGAATGAAGTGGCTCCTTTTGATCCTTTGGCTTTTTATTATAGAATCAGACTCTGATCACAAGTTTCATGAAAAAAAAATCATTATTTTCAATTGGGGTTGCACTAAATTCATAGAGTTTTTTCCTTTAAGCAGAAGGCTGAAAAGTATTACAGTTCTTTGTGTATATTATTGGTGTAGTGCAGAATGAGTGGGCTTGAACTATGTGAATTATTTTACATTTTTTAACTTATAAATACGTACAAGAAATCAGGGATGTTGTACACTGTGGCATTTAAGTCCTATGGAAACAAAATGTGATGGGTGGTTTTTTTTTCCCGTGATGTTTCTTTTTTTTTTTATGTTTTCAGAGAGCAGGTACAGAGGAGAGAGGCGGTGGTTGGAAGGGACTCTAGGAAGGAGTGGACAGGAGTAGGGAGAGACAGGAAGGATGTACAGATGTGTACAAAGCTGCACAGCTAAGAAGAGTCGCATCTCACTTATGCCGGTGGAGCACGGCATTGAAGGCGAGCCCATCTGCCCAGCTGGTGGTGAAGTTGAGGACGTTGACCTGACTGTACGGCCTCGTGGACTGGCGCACCCAGCTCAGCAGGATCTTCTCGCTGTTGGTCTGCTGCAGGGCTGACATGATATCCTTCATGACATCTTTCACCTGTTTCAAATGAAACAACGCCTGCCAATAACTTTACGTAGTGACGAGAATCAAGTCCCTGAATAAGGAATGCTATACCCATGAACCACTGGGCCAGGCCAATGGTATTCATTTTATTTCAAAACTTTCCTTTAAACACTGGAAACATAAAAGCATTTTAACAGTGATGACTTTGATTCAGAGGTGGTTTTAACATCACCTTTACGTATCATGGCATTTTCTATACCTTAGCAATACTTTTAATACATTTGGTTACAGTGAACATTAATTTCATAGCCACAAAAAATATTTTAAAACTATACAGTTACAAACATCTTTTAATAGGAGGAAAACTCAATTTTGATTTTCTACAGAAATCAGAAAGAAGGGAAGAATTTGGTTGACTATGAAATCCAAGAATGAATTGCATTTCCTGATGGCAGTAACAATTAAAATCTAGAAATAATATTTTATGTTATTATTCTAAATTAATACATATGTTTTAAGGAAGTGTTCAAATAATGATGTGGACATAAAAAAAAACACACAAGAGCCAACTTAAAGGGGTTTATAAAATAAATAATGATAGTGAAAGATCATAACCTACTAAAGGAGTAAAAATCCATCAGTATGCACAGATATATAAATGAATAGACAGATAGATACACAGAAACAAAACACAAGGGAAAGCTCTTCCTCACAAGTGGAAAGATAATTAACAAATGTAGAAGAAATGATGAAATGAGAAAATCACTTTGCCAAGCACCATAATAATAACTGATGGCTCAGTGGTAAAGAATCCGCTTGCCAATGCAGAAGACATTGGTTCAGTCTGGGTCGGAAGGATCCCCTAGAAAAGGAAATGTAACTCCAGAATTTTTGCCTTGGAAATCCTATAGAGAGAGGAGCCTGCCGGCTACAGTCCATGGAGTCACAGAAGAGTTGGACATGACTTAGCGGCTAAACAAAAACAACAAGAACTACGAATGGATCTTAAAAATAATGGACAAAAGTTTAATAAGTAGCTGAATATTTACAAAGTCTCAAAGTATATCTCCACAAGATACTTTTTAATAACAAAGGGCAGTCACCTTACAGTGGAGACACTGGCAGAGTTCACCTTACCCAAATGATGAGTTAATACAGCCAGAAAAAAAAAACAGACAGCATGTGCTTCATGATATGGTGTATAAAGAAAAATTCAACATCATTCTTGTGACATTTGTCCCACAAATGAATAACCTAAATCTAACCATGAGAAAATATCAGTCAAACCCACATGAAAGAACATTCTACAAAATAACTATTCAGTACTCTTCAAAAACGTCAATATCATGAAGTGCAAAGAAATACTCAGAAATTATGCCTGAATAAAGATGACTAAAAAGAAAAGACAAAAGAATGTAATGAATAATCCTGTATTCTTTTCTCTAGACAATATTATTGGGGCTATTGACAAAATTTCCATCAGATCTCTATATCGCATAATTGTTTTGTTTCAATATTATCTTCCTGATTTTAATAATTATATACTATTTGTTAGGGCATAGTATAATATTTGTATAATGATTAATATTAGCAGCATAAATATTATAATAATATATAATATATAAATAATATATTTTTTGCTGGATCATGGAAAAAGCAAGAGAGTTCCAGAAAAACATCTATTTCTGCTTTATTGACTACGCCAAAGCCTTTGACTGTGTGGATCACAATAAACTGTGGAAAATTCTGAAGGAGATGGGCATAACAGACCACCTGACCTGCCTCTTGAGAAACCTGTATGCAGGTCAGGAAGCAACAGTTAGAACTGGACATGGAACAACAGACTGGTTCCAAATAGGAAAAGGAGTACGTCAAGGCTGTATATTGTCACCCTGCTTATTTAACTTATATGCAGAGTACATCATGAGAAATGCTGGGCTGGAAGAAGCACAAGCTGGAATCAAGATTGCCAGGAGAAATATCAATAACCTCAGATATGCAGATGACACCACCCTTATGGCAGAAAGTGAAGAGGAACTAAAAAGCCTCTTGATGAAAAGTAAAAGAGGAGAGTGAAAAAGTTGGCTTAAAGCTCAACATTCAGAAAACTAAGATCATGGCATCTGGTCCCATCACTTCATGGCAAATAGATGGGGAACCGGTGAAAACAGTGTCAGACTTTATTTTTGGGGCTCCAAAATCACTGCAGATGGTGACTGCAGCCATGAAATTAAAAGACACTTACTCCTTGTTAGGAAAGTTATGACCAACCTAGACAGCATATTAAAAAGCAGAGACATTACTTTGCCAACAAAGATCTGTCTGGTCAAGGCTATGGTTTTTCCAGTGGTCATGTATGGATGTGAGAGTTGGACTGTGAAGAAAGCTGAGCGCCGAAAAATTGATGCTTGTGAACTATGGTGTTGGAGAAGACTCTTTAGAGTCCCTTGGACTGCAAGGAGATCCAACCAGTCCATCCTAAAGGAGATCAGTCCTGGGTGTTCATTGGAAGGACTGATGCTGAAGCTGAAACTCCAGTACTTTGGCCACCTCATGCGAAGAATAGACTCATTGGAAAAGACCCTGATGCTGGGAGGGGTTGGGGGCAGGAGGAGAAGGGGATGACAGAGGATGAGATGGCTGGATGGCATCACCGACTCAATGGGCATGAGTTTGAGTAAACTCCGGAAGTTGGTGATGGACAGGGAGGCCTGGAGTGCTGCGATTCATGGGGTCGCAAAGAGTCGGACACAACTGAACGACTGAACCGAACTGAACTGAAATATTATGTATTCAACATTTTATATTATCTTAATATATTATAGTTAAATGAGAGAACTTCTTGTTTTTAGAGAAGTAATTTGCTTTTACAAAATACACACTTAACTATTTAGTGAAAGAGGGACAGAGAGAGAGAAAACACAAACATACAAATAGCTGTTAACATTTGGAAAATCTGAGTGAAAGGTATCCAGGAATTCTTTGAGTTATTTTTGCAATGCTTTGATAAGTCTGGTATTTTTAAAATTTAATATTTAAAAAATACTTTTTCTCTATACCAGGAAAATAGAGCAGTTTGTCAAACTTTTCATTCCAAATAAGTTGAATTATATCCTTTCTCCAAATTCGTATGTTGAAATCCTAAACCCCAAGCACCTCACCATAGGGATGTATTTAGAAATAGAAATCTGTAAAGAAGTAGTTAAGGTAAAATGAGATCACATGGGTTAGCCCTAATCCAGTATGACTGGTATCTTGGAATAAGCAAAGGAGATTAAGACACAGACATACACAGACCACACGAGGAGACAAGAAGGGAGCCACCTACCAGTAAAGGAGCAGAAACCAACCTTGCTGACACCTGGATCTCCAATTTCTAGCCTCCAAAATTGTGAAAAAACAAATTTCTATTGTTGAAGCCACCCAGTTTGTGGCACCCTGCGGCAACTCTAAGAAACCAATACACCTATGATCCATTTCCAATTCCTATTAAGAAGTAATTGAGAATGTCCCCACCTGCCAGTGCAAAATGATGCTCCAAAGTAATCCTAAAGTCAGTTTGTGATTTCCATCTACAATGTCCGTTCCTCCTATATTCACTAAATCCACCTGGTAAAACGAAAAAATAACTTTTAAGACAATTTTTCTACAGAAACCCAGGTTTTTGTTTAAGCACATTTGGACAACAATATAAGTAAATGGTAAGAAAAATTTCACTTTAGAGTGTCAGGTAAACCTAAGTCACAACAATGTATTACTTAAACAAAAGATCAATAAAGTAATCACAAAAAAGCACAACTACTCCTTCACTCATAGAAAAGGTTCAATACTTCTCATATGAAAAATGCTTCCAAAAATTGGTTGACACCGGTGCCCAGAGCAGGTGGCTGGTTTCGTAATAAATCATCCCGATGGCATCAAAGGACCCCCGAAGTCACATGACAAACTTACATTATTCTGATGTAAAACCTGCAGCACTCTGTTGACATTATTTAAAGCGTGCACCCTTGTGGAGCCACGTTCTTTCGGCTGGAAAGCAAAACACAAAAGCAAATGAGACAGAATCCCCCCACATTGCTGTCAATGACTGACACTGAGATGCACATGGAACAGCAGCTGAGCCTACAGATCCGCTCTGCGCCAGGAGCCCAGGCTGGGTTCTCAGGCCGCCACGGAGGCCAGCGTTGACAGAATGCAAATCCTCCCACAAATAGCATCCTGAGACAGTAGTTCTTTAGTATGCCTGAACACTGGAATTCCCTAGGGATCTTCCCAAGATGCCAATGCTATGTCCAATCCCACTCCCTATGATTGTGTTTTAGTGTAGTCTGGTTTGGGAATTTGTACAAGATTTCCCTGGTGATTCTAAGGTACAAACAATCTTGGGAACCAATGCTCCACCAGGGAGAAAGCTTCTTCTGTCTCAATTGGGCTGAAGGCAGAGAGATTTAGAAGTTATGTCACCTCTACCTGCACTAGTGTTGATTGAGCAGAGAGGATTCAGAGGTGCTATACCAGGCTCCAGATAGCATTACGAGGACCCGCTGGGAAGACTGGAATTGCCAAGGAGACCTGGGAGGCTTCTTTCTGCCTCACTGGCCAGGGAATCTTATCTAAGAAAGGGATCAGCTTCTCCAGCAGGTGCCTACCCACCATCTGGTGCAAAGGGTAGAGTGTAACACCCCACACTCTAGCAAGAAAGAAATTCATCTTCAGAAGTGCGTCTCTCTATACCTTTTATAGTAATTCTACCTCTAGTGTCAAAGTCTATACCCATAAAATGCATCCTCTTCATTGGCAAAGTTATTTCTTTGTGAGTATTAGCTACCGTGCACATAAAGTAATAGAGTTAGATTTGATGATGAAACAAACATGAAGATAATACTGAAAGTCTGAATAAAAATAGACATCATGTTTTAATAACTTTTTTTAACCATTTGTTAAATAACATTAAGCATATTTGTCTCTACTTTCCACTATTCAGAATATCATACCTTCTTAAATATCCATCCTTTGTAATTCTCTACTGCCTGAGAGCAATAAAAATAAAAAGTAATTTTTTGAATAAAAACACAGTCTTTAATAAAGCCTAAACATAGCTCCATCAAAAAATTCATTAAAACCCTTTTTTTATGTTCCTATATCAGCCTTTACATTGTAAGGACCCCCAGAGGGTCTTCAAGTATCAGCAATAAGAGACACACCATTAGACTGGTTCTTGAAAACATCTCTCACCAGTGAAGTTCCCGTGAGGCCCTCTAGAAGATCCAATAGCTTCCTTCCATCCTTGAGGTCTGTAAACATATCACTGATGGGTGGTTTTCCACTCTATAAAAGAAAAGTACAATATCAGCAGCAGAAATTTCACACATAAATTGCAATTTTTTTTTCCAGTTACAAGTCTGGGTGATCAGTGGACAATACAAATTTGCCTTGGATGGAAAAAAAGTGCAAAGAACTTCAAATTCTATAACAAATGATGTAAGCTGAAAGATATAAACTGCATTATTTCTTAGAAAAGGAGCAAATAAAACTGTGGTTAATGTCAATATGCTTTGACTATGGTAAATATGGTTGACCACTGAACAACACAGTTTAAATCCTACAGGTCCACTTACAGGTGGATTTTTTTTTTTTAGTAAGAAATACTACAATATTATATGATCCGTGGTTGGTTGAATTCACTGATGTGGAACTGGGAGAGGAGAAAGCTAATTAAATTATTTGTGGGTTTTCAACTCTGTAGCATCGGCAGCTATAATACCCCATGCTGTTCAAGAGTCCAGTGTATTCCTGAGAAGAAAGAGGTGTTAAAAATATAAATAAGCATAGAGCACCTGGGTGCAGAGACCAAAGAAAACAGCGGATTCTTATTTCAGCCCTACACTTTACATTCACAGTATAACCGTGGCGTTCGCTATTTCCATTATGGAAGCAGGTCATGTCGTCATCAATTTCAGCTCTCCAATTTCACTCTCAGGCGCCTAGTCTGTGCTTGGTCTGTATTTCTAGCTACTAACTGCTGAAAGATTAGGATATTTTTGGCTCTGTGTCTAAACTCAGTATGAGTCCTATATTTTAAATGACAAAACTTACATAATTTCTAAACTCTTTGTTTCTGATGTCGTTAGCTGCTCAGTCGTGTTAGACTCTTTGCAACCCCATGGACTGTAGCCTGCGAGGCTCCTCTGTCCATGGGGTTTTCCAGGCGAGAATACTGAGTAGGGTGCCATTTCCCACTCTCGGGGATCTTCCCCACCCAGGGATCAAAGCTGTCTCCTGCGCTGAAGGCAGAGTCTTAACCATCGAGCCACCAGAGACGCATGACGCTCCCCTGATGAGTGCCTGATGCCAGAAAATCCAAACTCATTCACAAACAGACCTTGTCTGTGTGTGACATCATAGTTGTATGCAACAGGACAATTACTCATGGAAAATCTCAGTATGACCATTAACTAAGTAGTGAACCTAAATCACCAACTTAACTGTCTTCTAAATCACGCGTTATTATAAAAAAAAATTTAAAAATTAATATTAGGTGAAAAAGTTATGAAGCACAGTATAATAAATGTTGCATAATTATGTTGAGTCAAATTATTCTCTTCCAACATGAAATCTCCAGAGATTAACAGTCTTAGTTCCTATCAGTAATAAAGGTATTTTATAACCATTAATTATTGTATCTTCATTATTCTTCACTTTAAAAAACATGAAATCATATGAAACAGAATTATACTGAGCTTGAAATGGATAAGCAGGAAGGAAACCATTCTCAAGTTTCCTAAAACTTTGCATTTTCCCTTAAGACCTTGTCTGTGTGTGACATCATAGTTGTATGCAACAGGACAATTACTCATGGAAAATCTCAGTATGACCATTAACTAAGTAGTGAACCTAAATCACCAACTTAACTGTCTTCTAAATCACGCGTTATTATAAAAAAAAATTTAAAAATTAATATTAGGTGAAAAAGTTATGAAGCACAGTATAATAAATGTTGCATAATTATGTTGAGTCAAATTATTCTCTTCCAACATGAAATCTCCAGAGATTAACAGTCTTAGTTCCTATCAGTAATAAAGGTATTTTATAACCATTAATTATTGTATCTTCATTATTCTTCACTTTAAAAAACATGAAATCATATGAAACAGAATTATACTGAGCTTGAAGTGGATAAGCAGGAAGGAAACCATTCTCAAGTTTCCTAAAACTTTGCATTTTCCCTTTTTTTCCTCTCCTCTTGATTTCTTATGATTTTGATTACATATAACATATACTCAACCAATGGTTTTTATCAGGTGGCTTTTCCATAGTTCACATATTCTAAATGACGGGAAGTATGATAAAGTCTTCACTACAGAATCAGTAAAGAATAAACTATCATTTATTTATATCTGAAACAAAGCTGCTTTTTTATTTCCAGCTACCACTGCGTTACCAGCGATGATGTCAGAAACACATGGATGATCTCCATCTATCACATAACAAACAGATTTGCGTGATGCAGGAGACCAGATCCAGAGGCAATACCTTGAGGCAGATCAGGAAAGTTTCCTGCACATTAAAGACTTCTTGGGACAGTTCCATGTTTCCAATGCAGGGGTATGGGTTAGATCCCTGGCAAAGAAACTAGGATCCCACATGCCTCACGGTGTGGCCAAAAATTTTAGAAAGAAAAAAAATTTTTTAAAGACTCCTTACCTGCCATCAAGTAAAAGCAAAGGGCAGAAAAGGCCCCAATCATCTGCTACCCCTACCTTCCTCCTCTCAAAACCCACCCAAGCACACTTGAGCAAAGTGGCCACCAAATACCCAGATTCCTTTCAGGAAGAAAGTGAACAACTCTGGTTTTAGAGCAAAGAGACAAGAATACAGGTGAAGTTCATGGAAGAAACAAATAGGGATATCCTAGCACAGAAAGGATCTTAAGAATACTGAGGACACAGGCCACTAAATAATGTCTGGGCAGCATTTGTGATTGTTGCTGTTTAGTCAATAAGTCATGTCCGACTCTATGCAACCCCATGGACTGCAGCCCACCAGGCTCTTCTGTCCATAGGATTTCCCAGGCAACAATACTGAAGTGGGTTGCCATTTCCTTCTCCAGGGGATTTTCCCAACCCAGGGATCGAATGCACATCTCCTATATTGACAGGCAGAGATTCTTTACCACTGAGCCACCAGGAAAGCCCCTGGGTGGCATTTATCCATTCTCAAATCCACTACATTATCCATTTTCCAAAAAAGAAATAAAGTAACACAGACCAGCATAGAATAAAATATAGTAAATATATTAGTCAAGGACTTCCCTGGTGGTCGAGGGGTTAAGAATCCACCTTCCAATGCAGGGGTCCATGTTCATTCTAACTTGGGGCTCAATCCCAGGTCAGGAAACTAAGATCCCACATGCCACAGGGCAACTAAGACCTCACACCACAACTGGAAAGAGTCCACACACCACAATGAAAAGCCTGTGCGCCGCAACAAAGAGCCAGTGCAGCCAGAAACAGAATAAACACATACATTGAAAAGTATATAAATGCAAGTATTACTCCATATTACAAACAATTATGAATGCCCATTCAGAACCTAATTGTAGACCAGCCTCATAACCAGTCATGTAACTTTGGAAAAGTGGCCTTTCTACATCTATTGACTCATCTGACGATGACAGAGATTCAATTAATGTTTGGAATTATCATTCATATCAGAAGCATAACCTTCATGTTTTCTACTGTCATAAAAGTGCCATAAAATGTCAACAACAGCTGAAAGAAAGGATAAAACAAATAAGCACTTCATCTCAGGCAGGGATGTAAAAGCAAATTCGGAACCTGAGTATATGTTAGTGTAACTTCACAGAGAAAGATCTTCCAAGTCCCAAATTCACCAATTCGATGACGTGTACGGATACATCCCATTCAAAAACAATGAACAAGGTTGTACAAGAGCACACCTGAATATTATGCACGCACTGTGAGACAAGTATAACTCAGCAGCAAACCCAATGGATTCTTCCCTAAGCGACACTGCTGCTCAGTGGTTAAAGCAGGAGGCATTCATCAAGAGGCAGCATTCATTCTCCTGCATCAGACACCCTTTTCCTCTCTCTTGTCCAGCTCATTCATTTGTTCACTAAGCAACACATCTTCAGAAAAACTCCTTGTGAAGCATTCTCTTGAAACAAAGGTAACTGAGACACAGTTCTATCCTTCTAGAAGTTAATCACTCATCCAAGGTAAATCAATGCCTTTATACTGTTTAAAAACCAAAACAAATCCAACAGTAACAATACAATTGCTTTATTCATTTCCCAAATTTCAGGAAAATACTGATGGCAATCAGTATGAAATATGCTTTGTGCTGTGTCCCTATTCTCCCAACTCCCCCACCCCACTCCCAGTGATGACATGGTCACTGTGACTTCCACCTGGTACCTTCAGAAGCACCACACACACCTGCAGGAAGGAAAATACAGCCCATGGGTCTCCTCAGTGGAGATTTTTTTCCCTTAAATTAGGTTTCAATGCAGTATAGACTATCTTAAGCTCAGGAGACCCTGATTCAATTCCTGAGTCAAGAAGATCCACTGGAGAAGGGATAGGCTACTACCCACTCCTGTATTCTTGGACTTCCCTTGTGGATCAGCTGGTAAAGAATCACCTGCAATGTGGGAGACCTCGGTTTGATCCCTGGGTTGGGAAGATCCCCTGGAGAAGGGAAAGGTTACCCCACTCCAGTATTCTGGTGTGGAGAATTCCATGCACTGTATAGTCTATGGGGTCACAAAGAGTCAAGAGTCCAACACAACTGAGAGACTTTCACTTTCACTTTCATGAAAAGACACTTAACATCCATCAGAGAGAGACAAATTAAAATCACGATGAGAAACCACCTTACATCTAAGATAGCTAATTTAAAAAGCAGCCACAACAGAAAATAACAAGATTGGAGAGAATTAACAAGTGTTGGAGAGCAAGTGAAAATACTGGAAAAATGTACTTTGCTAGCAACAATGTAAAAAGATGCAGCCACTGTAGAAAACTGTTCCATCTTTCCTCAAAATGTTAAATTACCATACAAACTGAAGGAAGGGAGGTACCAGGGCTCTCACAAATTCAAAACTGTGATTCAGAATTTACATATAAAATACACGTTCACACTCCCCACACCCATGGCCAATCACTACAAAATACTGCATATTCCTGAAAAAATACAATTTAGGAATGTCCCACATACAGGTGGAAAGAACCATGACCCCTTTCCACTACAACTAGTAGAGTTACACCTCTAAGTATGGTGATTCAGTGCTTTGTGTCTTGCAACAGAGGGCAGAAAATGTCTTTTGTAAAGGTTCAGATAGTATTCCATTTAGTCTTTGCTGGCCAGGAGGTCCCTACTGAAACTTCTCAAGCCTGTTGTCATGATGTAAAAGCAGCGCAAGCAGTATATAAACAGATAAGCCAAAGGGAACGATGACTGTGTTTCAACAAACTTGAATCTGTGGACATTGAAATCTGAATTTCATAGATTGTCCATGCACCTTGAAATCTTTTTTTTTACTTTTTGCAACCACCTAAAAATGTGAAAACCATCCTTAGTTCATGGGCCATATAAAAATTGACAGTGGAAATATGAAAAGTTCTTAGACATAATAATAGCATGACTTACTATGTATCAGTTATGTTCTAAGAGATCAATACAGATTTAAATGCCTTCTTTGTTTCTTTAAATAGAACTTTCAGGTAAGAAAACTGAGACACAGAAGTGACATGACAGGTGAGAGGCAGAACCAGGCAGTGATACCACAAGGTCTGAATCCAAACCCAGGTTCTCAAAGTCCATACTGAGCTGAGACTAAAAT